GGTCACCTATTTCTGCCGGGGGGGGTGGGATTTAAAAATCGACATCGATGTGCAAACAAAGCCGAGTAGCGCATCAAGGAATAGAACTGGAGGCTGCAGCCTGGCAGCGATCCTCTGAGGACACCGGGCTGCTCTAACACATTGGGAACAGCTATTAATTAAGATTATCTTTTCAAAAATTACTGTATCTGTATGCACACATGTAACTGTTGTTGATGCCTTCGCCCTGGAGTCCATAGACTGTCACTCCTGAGGCTGTGGTCCTTGCTGTGCATGTCTCTCTCTTTCCTAATGTAGAAAGGGTTAAATACTACTGTCTAAGCAGGTCAGGAGGTATCTGTAAGGCATCCTCTGTTTCAGAGGTTGGAACTGTATGTAGCTAAAAGTGATCGCTTACACATTTGAGGAACCTAATCCAGGCACTCCTGATCATGTACGTGCACCACACAGCTGGGGACAGCAGGATGGGAGAGACAGGAAGAGACGGGGTGAAACAAAGCAAGTTAATCCACAGAAAGTGGATTTCTCTGGACAGCTCAGGATGGCATAATTTGGTAGTGATTTAGTGTTCCTAATTTATTCAGAAAAAAATTAATTTGAGGAAGAAATCAGACTGATATAAAAGCAGCTGCTCTGATCAGTTCAGATTCAATCTGCCTAGGTCTCTCTCACATACTAATTGCTCCTGACACACCATTAGCATAGATGTATTTGGCTCACTGCAACACAAGAGAACATTCAGGCTTAAAAAATAAATCTAAGAGACTCATTACTTTGTACAATTTGTTCAGCAAAAAAAGTATTTCTTAGCTTCCTTTATACATTTATACTATACATTTATCAGCAGCTTGGACATCAGCAAGACACTTCTGAAATAGTTTAAATGCTGCAGAAGACACAGATATCCAAGCAACTACTAAACATTATAGTAGTTTGGGAGGGATGCAACACAGAACAGGTACCAAGCACCCCTTAGAGCTCTCTAGTGCAGAATATTCCATGGCTAATTTTAAAACTTTTGTCCATTTATGTACTTCATTGATGTTTTCTCTGTTCTCTGTTCCTTCCTACCTGGAACAAGGCAGTGAAATACAGAGCCAGACTCTGGTTTTACTGTTGCAGTATTTAAACCACCAGACCAGATTTAATCTTAATTAGTTTAGGGCTGATACGCTGTTTTCTATAGTGGAAAGGGACGAAAGAGGGGAGAGAGAACGTTCACAGCAAAAATGACATGGAACTGATGAGATGATTATTCCCTTCTTCACAAGTATCCTTGAGTGAGCCAGCCTATTTTGATCATCTCTCACTCCTGTGCTTCAGCTTCACAGAAATATAGAATCAGTAGTTACTAGGCAGTTACATCTCAGCTGGTTGGGAAGTGATCCAATCTGCGTGCCTTTATTTTCCTAAGAGAAATACCATGGAGGTAATTTCTCCACCTTGTTTTTCCTCTGTGCTTGTTTAATCAGCTTAGCTATTAAAAGATAACAAGGGCTTAGGACTATCATTAGCATGGAGTGGTCATGTGGTTGTACTGGTAATTAGCACTGCTGTTGAACTCAGCATTGCTTAATAGGTAACTACAAAAACAATACCACGACACTGCTGCAGAAGCAAGTGAAGTCCCTCTCTTCTTGAATCTGCATCCATTTGTTTAGCAGCTTTCTTGTCTTATCTTTTGTGATATTAGGATCTATATTCAAATCATTTAACTGCTTGAAATGGGATTAAGACCCTACGGTCTGAAATTGCACTCCTGAGATACTTCTGCTGAGCTGCCCTGTAAGTTCTCAGGTACCAAAAGCCCCTGGGAGGGCCCTGAGAGGACCAGGTATCTCCAATCTGAATCCAAACACAGGAATCCTGTACTGCTTGGACTGTGTCCCCAGGAGTGCCATTCGGTCAATATCCTGAGCCTTGGGCATCCTCCAAAGGTACTGGGCTCTTCACAACTCTGTCCTTGGTTGCATTTGCTTTTGAAGCACTGCCAGAGGAAGAAGAAATGAAGATGGGTGCTCCTCATACACAACACTCTAGGGTTAAGCTCACCCAGTGGAGGCTGCAGGGTGACAGTCTCCCATTCCCTTCTTTGCCCCCAGACATTAACAGATTGCTTCAAAGAGCTAAAGAACATTGAAAACCATAACCTTGGGGGGTGGGAAGTGAGAGGGGGATATGCTAGGAAATCCTGTATCAATCTATTTGGTATCTGTATTATATCTAGCTCTGAAAGTAATGGATTCACAGATCTTCCGGAAAAAATATCCTACACCTGGTTAGTGTGCATCACAATTCTATAACAACAATGCTCTGTTGGAAGGCAGAGTGCAAAAAACTAGGATGCAAGCAGAAAAGAAACATTGAAGTGGCACTGTGGAGAGGATTTTGGTGTAAAGCAAAGCAAGGTTCCAAGAAGTATAAAGCCTTCAAAGTAAGAAAATTGCAGTTAGTGGCATCATGCAATTACTTGCTTCTGCAAAGTCTTGGCTTTGCTCAGCAAAGAAGTTATTTGGAGCATGCCGTTGGGCCAAGAGGTCTGTGTTAATTGGAAAGAAAAAGAATTTGTGACAGTGGCACTGCCAGGGCGTTTGCCTAACTGATGAGCTACTTTGTGATCCACAGCCAGGAAGGCCAACCTTCTGGGCCTCTGGTTTTACTTCCCCATTTAATTATTTGTCAGAAAAAGGGCCATCTCCTTTTAATGATTTGTACGATGCATAAAACAGTGAAGTCTTTGGCTCTGCTGCCTTAATACAAATGCACACTGCATGTGGTTTGTTTACAACAGCCTTCCAAATTAAAAATGAAGCAAGAAACTATGAACTACACAAGTATGTTAAGATAATCCTGTGATATTTTGAGGCAAGAAGTTGCAGCAAGCAAATCCTGCAGTAACTTAATGTAAAACTGCATTTCTTCTTTCCATACAGTATATCCCATGCATTATCTGTTGCTCTGCAAATTTTCCTGTCAGCAGAGAGAAGACAAAGATAAACATCACTAGGACTATCAGGAAGCAGAAGACAAAAGTTCAAGCTTTACATTTTATATCTGGAGCTTCAGATCCTGGAGGGAAAATTCCAGGCTTTTCATGTTGAAGTAATGGGCTTTCATGACTGTAGACTGCATCAAGACACACATCCTTAGCAGATTTTATTTATGGGCAGTTTTGGTCAGACCATGCCTGTGTGGATGTCCATACGTCCTTCAAGGTTAATAAGGTTAATCTGTTGACCAAATTCAACTAAATGAAGAAGGGTTGAAATCTCAACAGTAAATTTGTACGTATTTTCTGGAGACTGATGTGGAAGGGCAAAACAGAGTCCAAACGCAAAGTCCAAGAGCACCAAAATGGCAGATTGGTTTGCAGGTCTTTTTGGGTTCAACACGGCCCTCACTGTCTCCTGTCAAAAGAGTATAGGTGGGGGAAAGTGTTACAGGAGATAAGGAACTGAAATCACTGTGGGAGGGGAAAACATAGAGGACAGAGTACACGTTGGTTGGAAAATATACTTATTTCTGCAGCTTACAGTAAAACTAATTTTATTACCAGGGCCTGATACGTGGTGTCTGGTGTTAATAATTAATATAATTATGTCTTCCCCTGTTCCCCACCATTTCTAATGAACAGCGTTTGCTTTTTAGCTTTCCTCCACACATTTCTTTATAGTTAGGCCTCTTGCCTCAGGAACCTTCTCACCTCTGTTGCCTTCCATGATATCAAAACTGCTCTTTACCATCACGGGGGGATGGCACGGAGGTCCCATCCCAGTCCCCAGCAGCTTTTCCTTAGAAATGCTAATAGGATCTGCGTTGGAAATGAGATTAGAAGACTGAACTTGAACATTTTGTTTCAACTAAATGGATTAACTCGTGGGTTTGTACAGCCAAGCATCCACACTCCCCCTCAGCAGCAAAACCATGAAGTCGTTGTTCAGAAATGCTTCTTCCCTCTTCTTAAAGCTACTTAGTTTTCACAATGCTAATAAGCACTTGGGCTAAATCATTAACATTCCTCAAAGTTTTTTTGTTGGTTTTTTTTTTTTTTCTCTCAGCCTATGAGGAGGATAAAGGGTTTTGTTAGGGTTACAGTTAAATCAGAGGTGTTTGCGGCTCAGCTGGCCTTGTTCTATAACCGTTGCTTTTGGGAGCAAAACGAGCAGGGCTGGCTGCCTTGCACTAAGGTTTGAGTCCGGCTTACTGATGCCGAGCTTACTGCCTTGTATCAAATGAGCACGAAAAAAACGTGAGGAGACGAAGTGCTGCTGCTTTTGCCTTAGATCCCACAACGAACACCGCGATCTCCACGCTGCGTTTTACATTGGGGTTAAAAGACACACTCAAGGCATGGCTGAAGAGACTCGAGGAAAGAAAACAGCTCCTCCGCTGGAGAATGCGGGCATCGATCCCGCTACCTCTCGCATGCTAAGCGAGCGCTCTACCATTTGAGCTAATTCCCCCGTGCGCCACCTCCATCCTCTGCGCGTCCCCTCACAGCCTCACCCCGCCCCCCTTCCCCGCGCTTGTTGTCAGGCAGTTTGGCGCCCGTGCAGCGCCTCGGGGGGCGTGGCTCCGCACCCCGGCCAATGCCGAGGAGCGGGGGGCTAGGCTGAAGTGAGAGCGCCACCAGAGGCCCCTCCCGCCGAGGCCGCCTGCCGGCTCCGAGCGCCTCGGCTCCGGATTGGACCGAAAGAGTTTATTATTTTTTAAGAGGCCTTCGCTCTTCCGATTGGGCAATGGAAACGCCTGTCACGGTGACGTTCCCCTGTTGCTAAGTCGGGAAGGTGGGAAGAGAAATGCGCCCTTCTCGTGCGCCGACTGGCTAGCAGGAAATCGACCGCCCACCCCCATCCCCTTTTAAGCCCATAGCAGCGTTCCGACTGTGTGACTGACAGCGAGGAAACTGCCAATGAGAGGCCGAACCGCGCGCACCGCCCAATAGCAAAGGCGCGGGGCGGTGCCGGGGCGGTATGATTGGCAGGCGGGGCGGAGGGAGAGGAGGGCTCGCAGGCGCTGATATGTCCGCCATCTTGGAGCGTCGGTGATGGTGGCGAGCGGTGGCTTTCCCGCCTGAGCGGAGGCAGCCCGGGGCCTGTGGCGGGGTGACGCTCTTGCCGAGGTACGTCGGGTACAGCGGCGCTGCGGCCTTCCTCCGGCGGAGCTCCGGAGGGCCGACGTCTCGCTCGGGGCCCTTCCGCGGCGGTGTGGGCCCGGCGCCTTCCCCCTCCGTGCGGTGGCTCGGGGCGCTCCTCGGGTGGCGCGGGGCCGGAGCCCGGAGTCTGGTGGGGCCGCGGGGCCCGGCGCGTGTCGGCGAGCTCCTCGCGCGCGGAGCCCTGAGCCCGGGCCGCGCTGGGCCGCGGGTGTGGGGTGCCGCCGGCATGGGCGCGGCGGGGAGGGCCCAGGGCCGCGGCCTCGGGCCCTTCGGTGGGGATCGGAGCTGCTGGGCGCCGTGGAGGGGCCGTGCTGGCTTGGAGCCGCCTTTGGGCGCCGAGCGCCGCCGGCTGGGGCGGAGCGGGGCGCGGCGCCGCGCGGTGCGGTGCGGTGCTCCCCGGGCAGGCTGAGTGCTGTGGGGATCCGTGTGCTGCTCCCCGCCGCCTGCAGTCACTTGTGTGGCTGCTGGTTACCAAACTTCTCTACTGTGTCTCGGTGATAAGCCAGCGTTACCTTACTGGCAGCTCGTTTTGCTTTTACTTTCCTACTTTTCTTCTTTAAAATCACTGCCACTGTATTCCTGTGAGGGTGCTGCTTTTTTTTTGTTGTTTTTTTTTTTGTTTTTTTTCCTTTCTTTTTCTTTTTTTAACTGTTATTCTTTTTTGTTAGAATTTTGCTGAGATTGTGGCAGTGTTGGTTTACCTGTTGCTAAATACACCTGGCAAAATCTAACTCTGAACCTGCTGCTTGTTTTTGTCTTGCTTTAATAGTTACAAACTTCTCTAAGCGTAAGGGGGAGTTGGTGTTACAGCCTTGTGACATAAGCGCAGGTGGAGCTGAGGTCAGGGGATTCTCTCCACCAATGTGACATAAGAAGCAGCAGCCTATGCAGAGCATCCCGAAGTTCTGAGCAGAGGAATACAGAAAGCGTAGGAGTGATGTAAAAGCCTTAGGAAATCTTCCTGGAGAGTGGTTGACTGCTTAAAAATGAAAGGTCGTATCACAGGTTGTGATACTTTTTATATAGACATTCAGTGGTAAGGAAGTAAAGGCACTCCTAGCTGTATAAGTCTGAGGGTGGATTTTTTTTTAAATGCTGAATGTTAGGCTGGTTTAAAACTTCCAGTTCATACATACTGCGTGTGTGAACTGCACAAATACCCAGCACCCTTCTTTTTGTTCTTTGTGAGCTGCTTAAATACCTTATTTCAGTGATCTAGCTGGAATACTGAAGTTTGATAAACTGCAACATGTTTTCAGCACGGCACATTTTCACGTGAGAGTCTGATTGCTCAGTTCTGTGTTACCTCTTTGTGCTCCGATTGGGAGGCATGGACTAACTGTAGCTTGCAGGAGTCTTTATTGTGCAAATCTAAAAGAACAATACAGAATTATGTTTCCAATATACAACTTGTTAATGAGACCCCATGCAGATGGGGTATGCAGTCAGCATGTTAAGTTCTGAGCAGTTTGTAATCTTAAGTACTTCTGCAAAGGCGCTGAAATGATGAGTTTCATCTATCTGTGATATTGCTTTAACACAGATAAGGTTTTATTTCCTTATTGTGGGAAATGCACATGCAGTATCAGATCCCACACTTCTGAGTTAGTAACGGAATTTATCTTCTAAGGAGACCTTGTTTTGGCCAGAAGACCTGCTGGAGGGTTCTGTTTGCAGCATAATTGAGGAAATCACTGTTTCACATACATTTGCAGTTTAGGAATTCAGTAATTCTTTAAGCAGGGTGTTGCATTATCACTTCTTTGCAAGCAAGTTAGATTGATACGTAAACTGCAGTGCTTGTTATGTTTCTGGATTCTCTTAAATATAAGCTGCTAATGTTCCATTATGGAATCAAGTATATTACATAGGTTGTGTGCATCTTTACAGTACTGCTTGCAAACTGCTCGCTGAGCTTCTGTTGATTTGGTGAAGTGAGGAAATCTGTTTCCTTCTGAACGCTTATTTCGTGCCCCTAGCAGAGATAATGCTGTAGATGGGATATCAACCGGAGTGGGTCAGCTGATGATCTCAGGGTGAAATTCAAGTAACTTGAATAGAAATTCCGCAGTGCTATAGCAGAAAATTCTGTGTGTAACGTTAATATGGTTAGAGAGTGAACTCTAGTGCTGTGGTTCAGCAGCTTTGCTTCTCTGCTCAGCTGAAGCTTGAAGTGCACATACTGTGCTGCGCTACACAGCTGGCTCCAAACAACCTTTATGTGACTGAGACCTTAGGGGAGCGACGCTTTGGGCTCTCTGGTGGGGTTCCCTTTCTCTCAACCGATGATGTCCTCTTTTGTCCAAGTGCTTGAAAGGCTTTGTAGTATTAATTTAGCTCTGCAGGTAGTTAAGCAGATCACTTTGTATTGCTGTATTGAAATATTTCATCTTCTAGCTTCAGTGTTGCTGCACTGAACACAGTATCTTTGTAGCAGTAGACTTGTGTGTTCATTTCTCACTGATAAGTGGGTTCATTGGTAGTTGTGATGGAACTACAGCTTCTGTGGGCAGAGGAGGTCCATTTCCACAGTAAGATAGGATGTCACAAGCGTAATGTGTGGCATCAAGTTCTGGCTGTCATAGTGGAGTTTTCATTTGTGACCCTCAAAGTTTCTCTATGCATTACATGGCAGGTTGAGGATGGTGTGTTTCTCAAAGTAGGCACTGCATCCGATTTCACACAGGAAAATACATCTGATAGCATTTCTCTAGAGCAAGACATGGAGCCATGATTTTTGGCAAAGGTTCCTACAGTAATAAAACACATAGGGATAGATCAAAAATAATATCTTGCTTGTCTCGACTGATTTCTTCTAGTAGGAGAAGAGCAAAGGACTCAAAGTAACGTAGTGATTGAGTTCAATTCTCATGTTCTAGGGTGGGAGGGAAGTCTGGAGGATGAACCAGAAAGTGCCGAGAGTGGACGAATGCTGAAAGCTTTGCATATCGTGTGTAAGCATTTTGGTGATGTGTCAATGTTCCGGCATCTGTTGTAGAAACCATATGCTACTAAGCAACTGAAGTAAAATGTTTTTCTACTCTTGGGTATTACATACAGCTCTATAGCTGGTTTGGGATGTTTTTCAGGAATCTAGATGGGCTTAATGGATCCGATCGGGATGACGCTGGGTGTAAGCTGCTAACAGCTTGCTTGTGGCCCTTCTGGAGCATTTTGGTAACAGTTCTTCACACTAAACTGGGAAGAAAAAAATCTTATTGATTTAAAAAAAAAAAATTATTATTATTATTATTATTTTTTTTAATCATAGATTTTGTCCTGAGCTGTGTTTATTTCATAACTTCCCTTTGGTGTTGAGAAGCATATATGGAGTGTGGGATGAAAAAAGTTCCTGCAGCATATCAACCCCCTCGGCTGTTGTTTCTTTTTGCTGTTTCCCCAGGATCATAGAATTGTTGTGGTTAGAAAAGACCTGTAAGATCATCTAGTCCAACAGTAGGTAGCCCCATGTGGTCCTTCCCTAATCCTGTTAAGCGGACCTATCAGTTCCTCTCCTGTGGGGCTTAAAAAGCCTGGAGCACTCAGTGACAGGATCTGTGCCACCTGTACCTGCAGCAGGAGGGAATACCTGAAGGACTTCAATATGCAGCTGTGTGGACTGTGAAGCTGTGGTATGTGATATGGCAGTGTATGTTGTCTCTGCCTCTGTAACTGAGCAGACTGAAAATATCCTCTTGACAATGCTGGGAATCTGTTGTTACACAGGAGCGAGGGACTGAGTGAAAGACTGGAGTTATTTGGGGTATGTTGGCAAAGTGGGTAAAGAGAGAATGTATGAGATGGATAAGGAGGATTTGATTAAGATTGAACTATGGTATGAAGGGCAGCAGATTTTAATTTAAAAACAAAAAAGCTACATGTACACGAAAGCAGAAACTGCCTGATGCTGAGACCTGCGGGTTGGTTTCCTTGGAGAAACGCCTAAGAACTTTCGTATTTAATTTTGGATGAGGTGATTCCAAGCGTTCATATGTACACTGCTACACTTCTGTGGGGAGGTGGACTGTGTGGCCTCATGGTCTCTTTTCTGTGTCCACTTGGTCTTCTGGAGACTGGCTGCACCAAACGATACTCTGAAGCCTTTTTATGGAGACTCTGGTCCTGGTGAGGCTCTGTGGAAGGGCCGCCTGAATCCCTGAAGCTTGATAACAAAACCCAGTTGTGATTGAGAATGGAAACTTTCCAACCAGTGGTTATTTGTAACAAAGTTATTAAATGTGTTCCAGGCTATAGCAAATACTGTGTTAAAAGCATTCACCTTGTTAGCAGCTCTCAAGTGAATCCTAGGGGCTTTTATCCCTGCTGCACAGTGGTGCTGCCCTCACCTTCAGTTTGAGCAGTGTGAGAGCAGAAAGCAGGGGAGCAGTGGATGTTCCTGGGGTCTGGCTTGCCACAGATCACTGTTATTTCGATGGTACTTGTGCTGTGAGAGGAGTATCAGCTGCTGCCTGCTCGGGGTGGATTTCTGCATCCTATACCAGAGTACTTACACGGTTAGCATTTCTGTGACACAAACTGAAAATAGAGGTCTTGATGCTTGGTTTACTGCTTTTGGCTTTTGTGTGTGTGTGTGTGTGTGTGTGTGTGTGTGTGTGTAAGTAGTGGAAGCAAACTCTTCCTAACTGGAATTTACAGTCGGATAAAAGGCAAGGCAAGGTCTTGGTGGAAAACAGCAACAAAAAGGCAGAATTCTCTTTCTTATGAAATGCTTTGTAATCTTACCTTTAGCATACGTGTAGGGCTGTCTTGGTGCTCCCTTCATAGTGATGAGGTAGTTCTTTAATCTGTCTTCTATTTAAAATGCTTAGCCTTTTGTTGCTGCCTTGACAGACTTGCCATGTAGCCTGCAATTAGCAAGCTAGCCCATCAGGAATACCTAGTGAATTACATTTGTTTGACAAGTTCAGCTGCTGGCACCAAACATCTTGGGAAGGGGATGGAAATAAAGATGGAAAGCCTAGAGACAACACATGTGAAGCCGTAGCGGTGGCAGACTCGGTTCTGGGTAGGTGGGTTTCCTCTGAAGTTGTGACTTGCAGCTATAGCAAACTTGCTTTCATTTTGCTGCTGGCCTGGGTGCATTCCAGATGGAAATCTTTGACAACTGCCAAAGCACAGAGGTTGCATGCCTTACCTCCCATTGCCTGTCTTTGTACCCTTCTGGCTGACACAAAGGCTGAGTTTGGTGCTCCTCATGGTGCTGGCTGAGGGCTACCTGCACTTGGCTGAGGTTTTTCCTGCCTTGAGTGGCAGCTGTAGAAGTCGTACTGAACTGCATGTTGGCAGTGAGTTCTTCCTTTTGGCTGTGACAAGCCTGCGTTCATCGAAGGATCCTTGTTTGTGTGCTTGATGCCAACGATGGGCTTTTTGTTACTCGAAGCCACCTTTTGGCCTTTTAATGGTAAAAAGGTGCTGTGTGCTGAACGCTTGATTTATATGAAGTTTTTCTGAGTCTCCCTGAAATAAAGGAGGTGGTAAAGATGCGATTGCTGGAAGGTCTGCAGTTCTTAATGGTCAGCGTAAAACTAAACATGATGCTGTTTGTGTTGACTGTGGTGGTCAGTGTGCAGCTTTTATTTTAACAAGTGGTGCTTCAAAGAGGAGAGGTGGATGAGGATTTAAAGGCGAAGCAGCTAGAAACCTGGTAATTGATGAAAGATGCTGTAAGACCACTGCACTACTTGCTGGGCTCTGCAGCTTGTAAAAAGAGATAATAATTGCTGTCACAGCTGTGAGTTGATATTAGCATTTAGCACTTAGCTTTTATAAATATCTGGCAGCTAATTAAAACCCTACAATTCTTCCAACATTACTGAGTTCTTCCTGTTACTTTACCAGTGATGTTATGGGATCTCTTTGCTCATCTTAAAGGGACGTATTTTGCCATCAGACTCTGAGAGTCGTGCTGTGTCTGTGATTCTTCAGCTTTATTGTTTTGTCGATGAAGACTCTCCTAGAGTTGCAATCCAAGAATTTAATCCTGCTGTAATACCAGTACTAGGTGGCTGGGGGCTGAACTGAAAACATGGCTCTTTCTCAACCTATTGCATTGTTTGATTGCATTTATTTCTCAGTAGATGTGCCAGGTACTGTTTTTCTGCTTATTAACATGATGTTGATGGTGGATGGGAACAAATATTTTTCTTTTTCCTGGGGTGGTCTGTTCTATTGTGCTCTCCTGCTGTGCTTATACATCCAAAAAAGAGCCCTGACGTGGCTGGATGGAGTGCTGGCTCCTCCTGGCCTGGGTGCTTTGACTCCAAAATGCAACTCATAACTGTGTATCAATCTCTAACTCTCCAGTGACAGAATGGGAAATCTAATGGCCTGGATTGGAATTGTAGGGATAGGATATCAAAAGCAGACAGTTAAATAAAAAAAAGGAGTAAAAATCTGTACCTCTCTGTGGTTGTCTGTGAAAAAGGATTGGAAGTCTGAAAGTCCTCATAATGATCCAGTGCGAAGAACTGAAGCAGAGCTTTAGGAAGCTTTTGAAGACTGCTGAGAACACGAAGTAGGTCTTGCATTTCCCTTTGCAACTTTTGGCTTTTTCTTCAAACACAGGATATGCGTGGCATGTGGAAGAAGGGGGCGCGTTCTGTTCTGCAGCGTTGATTATTTTTTTTCTGATACTGCCCATCAAAATGGAAGAGCTACGTGGGGACAGGATGCATTTGCTTGAGGCAGCAAGCACACCTGTGTCTGGGCAGTCTGATCTAACTGCAGTAAGAGCACGGCGTGCTAAAACTCAGGTTCATGCAGTGGGGCAAGCAGGAAGGAGGGTAACTTGGTGGTCACTCGAAGCTCTGCAAGGTGCCTTCTCTGTGACTTCCATTATTTGCTGGTTTTCTAATTTCTCTTCTAGATCTTACATAAGCTTAATGGTTATGGTTTTGAGTGTGAGCAAAAGCGAGCAGGACTTGGTACAGTCTTCTCATTCAAGGCAGTTATTCTTAGGTTGGTAAGCTGAATCTCTCAGCTGCTGCTGTATTTTAATTTCCTTGCTTAACAGATACACTGGAGTAATTTTCTTACTTTTGTTGTGTTGATAAATGTGCAAATGGAGAAGCTGCAGTACCAAGCATAGAGAGGATCTAAGTTTTGGTACATGAAATCAAGATTAGGAATCCTTTTCCTCAAGTGTAAGTTGAAGTCAGGGATTTATTTTAACCCGCTTGAATTATAGATTAAAAGAAGAAATATCTTCACTTGTTCTATTCATGCTGTCAGAGCTGCACGCTCCGAATTGTGCCGTAGGGATTCCAGCCTTCAGCTTGAAGAGGAAAACATGTTTGTTTGTGATATGGTCATGCTAGCCTGATATGTCATGTTAGCCTGGGTTTGTGCACAGAGTGGGTTGATTAGTTCTGTCCTTACAGCATATGGTAGCACAGAAGTTCAAGATAAAACTTTTAGGGGCTCAGTCTTTGCTTTATGAGAAGGGCAGTCTTGCTTGACACTTGAAAATGTGCAGCTGTCAGAATTTATCTTAATGGTTCTCTAAGCCTTACTATGAGGAAAAGCAGGAACATATTGCCCGCAGTCTTTGTCAACTGGTGAAGTTCAGGTGGTCTGTAACGTGAGTGGAGAGGTCTGGGGAACCTTCAGTGACAGTGAAGAGTCAAACGAGAGGGAAGTACATGACAGCAAGTTTGGGTTTAATTTTTAGGGCGTTAACTTAAGTCCATTCTAATTCTGGTGGCAGCCAGAGCTGATGGGAGCTTCGAGAGGCAGAGCGGTGCCGGGCTCCCAGAGGCTGCTGCCAGCTTCCATTTCTGAACTGCAAATGTTACAAAGTATGCATTTTAACAAGACTGACATGTTGCACGCTAAGAAAACTTGTAGGACTTGCTTACGCTGCCGGTACAGAAGGGCACTCTTTGCTGACCTGGTTCGAAGTTACTGAAGCAAGCAGCTTTCTTCTACCTCTGTGTTTTCACGTACCTCGAAACTTGACTTGCATCCAACTTTCAAGGTCTAATCAGCAAGGTGAAAAGGAGGATGAACTTGTTTGTCTGAACAGTTAAAGGTTGTCCAGATAAAGCGGGTATGTTTACATTATGTACTGCAATGCCATGGAAGAAACATCCAAGCCAATTATGCATGGGCTTTTATATTTACAACGTGCCATGCCAAGTACTGACGTAGGGTCAGAAAGCTGTGTGGGCTGTTGTGCTCTGCTTCATGAGGGCAAGCTGAGTGTAGGTCTGAGTGGCTGTAGTGTAGCAAAGTGTCTGACACAGCTTTGTTGTTGTCTGTTAATGCTGCTTCTGCTGCTGCTTTACTATGAGAAGAAAGTTTCCTGTTGCCTGGTTCTGGTGAACACATTCTAACAAAGAGCCTTCTCATCCCTTCCGTGCTTGTTTTCAGCAGTGTCCCTGCTGGTTGGGGCAGCGCGAGGCAGAGGAGGTGAGACATTGACCCAGCACTAGTGCAGCCGTGGTGGTAAATATCATTGATTTTTATTTTTTTCTGTTGCCTTTCAAGTCTAATAACTGGGGATCATGAACACAAAAGCCCCCACGCTTGTTGAGAGCACCAACTGAAGCAGAAAGGAATAAATGCTTAAAGACTTCTGCTAGAATTCACGCATCTAACCTTAAAGCTGTCTCCTTAAGTTAGGGTTTTTTCCTTTAACATTCAAACAGGAAAAAAAAAACCTGTACAACCTCAACAGTAAATTAGCAGTACTGTTTTGTTTTCCATTTCTGGCGAAGCAGTGCAAGAGTCCAGGAGCTGTGTTGGGGATTGTCGTGCGGTTGGGAGAATACAACTGTTGCTGAATTGTCTTTTCAGCCATATGGATCTTACTCTTGTTGTCAACTGCAGAAAAACTTTCATGCTGCAATCTTGAAGCAACTGAAAGTCATATGATTTGAAACAGAGATGGAAGAGATGCATCCTGGTTTCCCTGTCTCTACCAGTGCGCTCCCTGTTCCTTGGCCACACAGGCCCTGCTGACTGGCAGACTCTTTGAGCTCCTTCAGCATGTGGATTTTGCAAAAAAAAAAAAAAAAACCAAAAAAAAACAAAACCAAACCCAAACCACAACCCTCTTTCCTTGTTTCTCACAGCAGCCTCATCTGTCATGTCGTAATGTGTGTTTTTGCTCTGAAGTGGCTTGCAGAGGTTGGTCAGGTGTGGTGTCAAGGAGAGACCATTCTGAGTGGGTAGTGTTGGGACTGCTGGCTTTAATGTGATTCTGGGGGAGGAAGAGATGTTCCTGATTAAATTCTGTAGTAAACTGCAGTATTCTGATGTTCTAGTGAGGACATATTTAGATTCTCTCATCCAGGTGTTTGGACGGATTTGTTAAAGGAGTGATGATGATACTGTTTAGTCTCTTAAATAATTTGGCACTGCTCTGTCTTGAGTATTAACATGTAATAGTTTCCTACTGCTGGATGGTAGCTTCACTGTGGAAGCTTTCTGGAAGCTTTCTAATAAACTACTGGAAAAAGAGGAAAAAATGTACTTGATATGTTGTACACTCACACTTAGGACATACTGGATACCCTCCGCCTCACTGTGCTGACATCCAAGGTTGGTCTCCATAAATGTTCAGCAACCTCAATGTTAGTGGATGTAGTTTCCTGCTGGTGGAGGAATTCGTTGATGCACCTTTGCTCCATCTGCACTTGCATGTCAGATGCCATTTTGTCACACTCTGCTGCCATCTGTCACACGGCAGCAAAATGTAATGGGAAGGTTCAACCTCTACTGCCACAGCACCATCTGCCTCTGATGTTCGGGGCCAACATCATGAAAGAGGAGTGTTACTTTTGGAGCAGCCCTCATTTTAAGGAAAGGAAGTGTGGGGTTTTTTCCCCCCCTCATGGGTATGCGTTTGAAAACCAGAAATGGCAACCAAGCAAACTTGGGTAAAGCAAAGAAAACACACTTGTTTACTTTTTCTGCTCTAGTAAGTCACTTGGCTCACAAGGAATTGGCAAATCTACTTGACATTTGGACCTGAAGATCTCAGGATGAAAAACATATTTGACCTTTGAAAGTATTATGGTCAATGTATTACGCTGACCTTCAGTTCATGTGTACGTTGGTTACTAAAATAGCCTTAGAGAAGGCTGTATTTAATGTTTGTTTATGTCAGGGCTTGGAATCTCTGTGCCATTGTGCATGAAATGGAAGAGTGGTGACTTCAGGTTCCAGCACTGTTGGGAGGTACTAAATAACGTGGTACTGCAAGCAAAACTTCTTGGGCCCAAAAGTGAATAAATAAAAAAGTACCAAGCAGAGCACATTCATTGGGTGATTGTAACTGAAATGTAAATGTTACTTTGAGTTCAGAAAGAATTCCAAGAATTCCTTCCAACCCAAACCATTCTCTGAATGTATTTTTCTTATGTATATTTAGGCTGGTAGAGTTGTTTCCTCCTTCAGCTCGTGTGTCTTATTTCCTGCAAAGCAACACTTTGTGTTCGTGCAGTTGCTGAACTACTGAACAGAGAGCCTGTTAACAACACTAAATTATAAAATGTCTTTTTTGTCGTTGTAGGAAGAAATCTGCTTCATCTAATTCAATCCTAATTCAGTCCTGCTAATCTGCTAATACTGTAGATTGAAAGATTTTTGCTGTTGCCAGGATACCCTGTAATGGGCAAGGAGCCTGAGAGAGTACAAATTCTGTTTTTTAACTTTTGTTAAAGCTTTTGTTTAACAGGTAAGAAACGTTGCTATTAAACTTCATCTATAGCGATACACTTAGCTTTGGCGTCTATGAAGCCTCAGATTAAATGTTAAGTTGTGCCTAAACACTTTCACTTTGTCCCTCATCTCCACGAAAGGCTTACTTACCAGATTCCAAGCTGCTCTTCCTTTTCTGCAGGTCAGGCTTTCCTTTCAGCCTTTTTTTCCCAACGACTTTATAGATGGCTGTTTTTAACTTTGTCTTTTAATCCGTCCTGCTGTTGCGCTACCTTTTGTTTTTGTTTTATTTCTCAGCCCCTGTTCCACCTCTTCCTTTCAGTCTCAGTTGACCCTTGAGGCTCATTCTATACACACTGTTGTGGTTATTCTATTTGTTTTACAGGGAGCATGTTTTAAAGTGTTTTGATTTTGTGCCAGGAAGTGTATCAGCTGCCCAGCCTCCCATTCTTTGAAGAGTTTCAAAGCAAATGTGTTCATGAATTGACATACATTAGGTACGAAAGATTTTTGGCACTATAGGTTCTTGTATTGGAGTACAGCAATGCTTCCTTCTGCAGCCAAACTTTTGGTATCAAACTGAATGCTTCAGAGTAAAATTGTCTTCTATGTAGGTAAGCATTATTTAGCTGTCTTGTTATAATATTGCTGAACCATCTGTTCTTCTCAGTACATAAATAACCCAATTTCCATTTTGAAAATAATTGGAAGAGTTGAAAATACTGAGAATCTAACTGAATTCCATGACCAATTAATACTTTAAATTTGTAAATATTTGGCTGCTGAAGTGAAGTTAGTAGAAAATTATTTTATTTTGTTTGGGTATGGGGAGGCCAGTGTCGATTTTGTAGTTATAGGTAACAAAAACTTACATTTATTAACAGTTATTAACCAGTGATTTGACACAGCGTAGGAGTCACCAAGGCTGCATGAGTTGCTTGGTGTAAAATTGCTCATGTAACTTGATTGTGAAGTGCAGATTTTTAGCCAGACAGTTATGACCGCAGGAGTGTGGAGCTATCAGTGTGGTTGAGTTAGCATGAACTATTCTGGAAGTTCTTCTAGACTTCATCATAGCAGCTGACTGCTGGGACATTCGGTCAGTAGATGTTTGTGTGCATGTGATGGGTGTGTATTATCTGTATTGTGTAAACACGTATTTGTAGCTCTGATCTAGATGTAAGAGCAGCCAGTGGAAGCATGGAATGGTAAGTGTGAAAGAGATGTCACTTTTGTCTCAGTTTTCAGCTGCTCTACAACTGCGGCAGGCCCCTCCTTTGGAAGTGAAAAGGAGGTACTTACTGTCTAATATGTAGAGAATGGAAGTCGTCCTTCCTTATCAGATAATTTCCCTTCTCATTAGGAGCTGGAGACAGCTTTTTGAGTGTTAGGAAAATGACTGTTTTCGTACTGTTTTCAAACATGGTTTTTCTTCTAGTCAAGAAAAGACTGCCACGTCATATACCCCTAGGTGTGTAGTTAACACAGCTAGCAGCTGGAATCTGGACTGGCTGGAATCAATTGTATCCATAGTATATTGCTGTAGAATAGTTAATGCACATAATGAGTTTGCTTTCTATTGTGTTCCCAAACACACTTCAGCTACGCAGGAATTGTTGATAGTATGTGGGAGAAGCGATGTGTTGTTTTGGCATGTAAGTGAAATTCTACCTGGTGAGTATTTCTAACACTGAACTGTCACTGGGTTACCTGCAGGGAGCATTCCCCTGCAGTTCCTGTACCTTACAGCTCAACAGTGGTAAGAACTTACTCGTGTGATTTCACCTGCCTTTAAGAAATATAGAAACTGTCTCACAAAAACACTGCTGTATTATTGCTTTTATTTCAATCTGTGATTGCTAGGTGTGATGCAGTACAGGTGAATCTAGGATTTGGAACAGCAGTTGATGTCTTAGCAGTTTAAGAAGTAGCCACTAGAGTGTATTCTCTGTCAATGTTCATGACTGCTCTTTCTGTCTCTCTCTGAAATTTTTTCAGAGATGTACTTTAGTTTTACCTTGAACAGATGGTGAATTTCCAGTATCAAAGGAAGGGCTTTATGAATGCTCGTGTAGTACCTGATTAACGTTCATTGCTTTGGGCAGAAATGAGGTGGAAACTAATGAAGTGCAGTTAACCAGTTGGTATCTTGGTGAGCTGGCAGGACATGCTTAGCATTTTAAAGAAGCCACTTAGTGTTAAAGGTCTTTGAAATGTTGCTAAATTCTCATAGTGTTACCATTAAAAGATGCTATTTCTTTCATTACTTCCCCCCGAGCCCTGCTCACCTGTTTGGTTTTTGGAAGACAGCTCACTGTTAGCACTGGAAATGCTTTATAGAAGTTCTGAGGAATAAGTCTTGCCTCAGTAACGTTGGTGGTGCCAAGGACTACGTTTGTGGCTCCTGTCCTTGCGTCCAGTGATGGAGTTGCCTTTTGTGAGCTGCTGCCTGAGAGTGGGAAAATCCTGTTTTATTGAAATATCCCACTTAACTTAAGATGTGTTTGATCATAGGAAAGTTTTTTGGTGCACAAGTAACTGATTTTTCTCTGTGTTCTTGAACTCCATATGAAGAAGATGGTGTTGTGTGAAGAAGTTGTGTTCTCAGTTTGGTACTTGGCAACACAACCCTTATTACTCTGTAGCATTTCGTAGGGTCACAAAACACTGCAGAAGCTTCAGCTCGACACCAATGCACTTGAAAATTCTCATGTTAACTGCTTATTGCTGTAAAAATGTGTGAAGTTCTTGATGGAAGCTCTGGGTATCTGCTTTTTACACATTCAGATGTCAAGTAAAACATCATACCCGAAACAGCTTTTAGCTGAATGCCTGAAGTCCTTTTAGTCTAGTTTCTGTGCTGGTTCAGACGGCCTCATCTGCTTGTAGGTACCACAGGTATGAGCTGCCAAGCTGGAGGTAACTCCTGGTTAAAGATTCACCTGCATATGATACATAGAAGTCCAGAAATGAAACGAGCAGATCACCTAAATAGTCTTTACAAAACGCACTTCTTTAAGAGATTCGAGGCAGGAGACAGTCCCCAGAATTACCCTTGTAGGGGCATATCTGCCTAGAATTTGTGTTCATTTTGTGGACTGAGGGCAGAAAGATGTCTGCCTTCGGGAAACCTGTTTGACTGCTACATCTACTGGAAACTATGGAGAAACTTGTTACATCCACAGATTTTGTTCTGGTGGAGAGCTCAGCTGAGCGTTTGGCCTCTGGAGGCACCCACAGTCCAGTTCCTGTTAAACGAAACGCACCGTGGTGTTTTCAGCTGTCGTGGACAAAAGATGTAAAGGGTTTGGGGAAGGAGCATTTGTAAGCTTTATTTCCTCTCACTTAAGAATTTCAGTTACCTGTGGCTTAGAAGAGTGATGAATTTCATCAGTTTATTGAAGGGCTTTCTTTTGTTACAGATTTTAAGTCAGGTACTAACTGTCTGGAATGCTATTCCATGATTCATTTAGAGAAGAATCTGTCACAGTATTAACTGCAGGAAAAAGTCGGGTTTTGTTTTTTTGTTTGTTTATTCTTTGTCACAAATGCTGCATAGTATCTTTGATTGTTATAATTTGTATCAAGGTGGTGTGAATTATCTGAGGAAATACTTAAATAAATTGGAAGTTTGTTAGCCTTGCTTGCTGGGAGCTTTCAGAGACAGTGGGAAGCTGACTAAATGTTATGGGAGAAGTACCTGCAATCATTTTGCCATCTCTAATACAGTTTTTCTTCTGTGTCTGGGAGTTTTAAGTGCTGTCCCATATTACCTAAAGCATGGTTAACATTTGGCAATCTTTTCCATCTGTTGTTGAATCAACATTGTGATTTTGCTGCTGGCATCAGAGCTGAAGTTGAGTAATAGAACGCACCTGACCTTTGGAGCTGATCATTAATTAGCAGATAGTGAAATGTGGTGAGAAGCACAGCTGGAAAGTGCCTCCTCCTGATTAGGGGACATACATTCTAATTCTTTGCCTCTCTTAATCACACTGAAGTTTGAAAAAGCATGAAAATAACTGAGACTTGGTGAGGTTTGGGGGAGAGGGTGGAAAAGCAGGCTATGGGAAGAACAAACTTGGTTTTGTAACTTCCATTTGGAACTGTGACAGGCTGTTCTTAGGGGATCATCAGTGCTAACGCCTGTAGAAAATGATCTTCGGGGTTCCTGGAATTCCTCACTTGCACATTTTATGGTGTTTATTTTTCCTTATTCCAAAGGACCTGGGCTGCTGTTGAAAAGTGATGGAATAATCTCCGGCTGGCACCTGACATGCTGGGGGAGCATCCCTAAAAGAGCTTGCCTGGGAGACAGTTTGGGAAATAACGCAGTGACATGTTTGCAGTAGTATGCCTCTTTTTTTGTTGTTGCTGTTCTCTATTGTTGAATTTCTCTTGAAATGAGTAACTGAAAAATGCTTTGAAGCTACTGAAATGAGCTTTAATCACTGCAGAGGGATTTCTGTCTGGAATTAGCATTGGTTGGTAGTGGTTACTTGCAAAGATGCTACTTTCACTAAATGGGGCAAGGGGAGGGATTTGATCTACTTATTAGAGGCTTAAGGAAGAAAATATTCTGTGCCTTTAATAATGCACTAGTTTAATTGCTCCCAGCGAGTCTGTGTGTAGCCTAAATAATCATAAGCCAATGTTTTTAATAACTTAGTGTAATTTGATTTAAGCTGATGTGAAATCAAGTGCTTTTGACATCTGCTTGTAAGATGTATTTTCTTCTGAAATTATTAGTATTTTTTATCCACCTAATCACAGCATGGACTCTCAAATGATTGTAATACCGATACTGCAATTAAAACTATCTGTACTTTTTCTTGAATGATTATTTTTTTTTTTACTCCTGTAAGTTAGAACAGGAAGCTGTGTAATCTGGGGCAGTTAGTTGTGCTTAAAACTCCTGACAAAATCCTAAGCAAAGTAAGGCGGTAAGAAGTGATCAGCACGTAATTAACACAACAAGGGAAACCTTAAAAGCAATTGAAACGTGGCTGCAGTGAGTATACCAGGCTTATTCTAATCTTTAAGCTAAGTATTGGAGGTCTTGCTAATGAGGTTTTGCTAGATGCACAGATTTCTCAGCACTTCAGTGGCTGAGGTGACAAAATTTGACACCTTGTTGTTTGAGCAGCTGTGGTAGGCATGCTGAATCCATTTAAATGTAAGAAATAAACGCTTAATGCTGTCTGAATAGAACAGTTCATATAGAAGAGACTTTCAGAAGATGATCTATTCCAACTACCTGACCACTTCAGGGCTAACCAAAGGGTTAAAGAAATGAGGGCATGGTCCAAATGCCTCTTGAAGGCTGACAGACACAGGGCATCCAGCTTCCCTATTCCAGTGTTTCAACACTCCCATGGTAATGAATTTGTTCATAATGTCCATTTTGAACAATATTTCCAGAAGGATGCTGTGAGGGATGCTATCAAAGGCCCTATTAAAATCCAGACTGATGTCCACTGCCTTCCTTTCATCCCCCAAGTGGACCTTAGCGTAAAATGTGATCAAAGTAGTAAGGCAAGACTTTTTCTTCATTAACTCGTGTTGACTGTGCCAGATCATAGCTTTATTCTTCAGCTGACCTTCAGTTGCCACAAGAGCGATCATCTCTGAGGCTTCTGCAGGTGCTGAGGTTAGACTAACAAGGCAGCAGTTCATTGGAACTTCTCTCATGCCCCTTTTTGCAGGTGGGTCTAATGCTGGCTAGCTTCCAGTCAGCAGAGACCCCCAAAGCCTTTGGTAGATTGTTGAGAAGGGTCCATTCACAGCGCTTGTTTAAATCCCTCTGGGTGAATCCTGTCAGGCCCTGTGGACTTATGTTGAGCTGATACATTGGTCCCTTGAAATTTGAGTGACCACAGATGGAAAGTTGCTGCTTCCCTAATTACAGTCTTCTGATTCTGAGAACTGGGTTGCCTGAGATCTATGGTTATTGAAGACTGAGCTCTAAAAGGCATTAAATTCTCTGTCCTTTCCTCAGCCTTCCTTGTTAGATGGCTGTCTGTCTACCCTTTAGTTTATGTAAGAATTAAGTATTTGTTTTAAATGTTGTAGGTTATCATAAGAGTTTATATGCCAAAGGCATGGCTTGATTGCTGTAGATAAACTTGCACCTTCTTCATTTAAAACTGCAGCTTGTAAAAGTGCTTTTGCTCAAATAATACTGCTTACCTGTGTTTTCTGCAGTAGCCTCATGTCCACACAGCTAACACTGTCACTTATTTTCACCATTAATTATTAAACCTTCACACTTGGAAGACAGTTACTAAAGGAGCAAAGAGAGGTTTTGCTTTTCTCTGAGTATTGCTTAAAACCATGCTGCTTCCAGCTGTAGGGAAAAAGCTGTTCTTACTGATCTCTAGCATGTCTTTCAATCCATCTGCTCAAGTTCTGCATTCATACAGGGCTAGTTGATGCTGTCTTGCAACTGCTTTGCAAGTTGTCTTAGAGAAACAAAATTAGCAGGAAGGTGTTCACAGCCTTTCTGTAAGGAAAGCTTAAATTGCTCATGCCTTTATTAGTCTTTCGTAGTGCTTACTTGGGGACGCTGTCCTTTCAGGCATCTGCATAAGAGATTTTACTGTCCCTTGTTCTCCCCTTCTTGTTTCAAGTTTGTGGAAAGGAGGTGCAGTGAAACAGTAGGCTTTGCCCTGACATTAGCTCCAGTGCTTTTGGTTATAATTCTCGTACCTGCGGAGGTATTCTTTTCAGTGACAGAGGTGGCACGATAGTATGCTTATGCTTTGCCCAGATCTAGTCATTGCTGAGCAGGTAGTTCTGAGTTTGGGAATTGGGTTGTTGATCAGAAACAGTGGCAAGAGCAAATGTAAGTAAAAAACCCCAGAGCTGGCTAACTTCCAGCATTCAAATACTAGCAAGCTGAAGGTGTGAAACTTGCTACAGAACATTCTGTCTTCTTTAATCAAGTATGACTTAGTAGCTCTGTGATGGTCTTTTAGCATCTGCTGCCGTGCATTGTTCAAGTTCTAGAACATTTCTATGTGTGCAGATGCCTTTGGGATTAGAAGCTATGAGGTAGTACTGTGAATTGTTTCTGCTAATAGTGCTTAAATACACGTGTGAAACTAATGTTTGGTATGTTCTTTTTATCCAGACCAGCATGTTTTGGAAATTTGATCTCCATTCGTCATCCCACATAGATACACTTCTAGAGAGAGAAGATGTAACACTGAAGGAGTTGATGGATGAGGAGGACGTCCTGCAGGAGTGCAAGGCTCAGAATCGCAAACTTATCGAGTTTCTGTTGAAGTCAGAATGCTTGGAAGACTTGGTTTCATTCATTATCGAAGAACCACCTCAAGACATGGATGAAAAAATACGATACAAGTAGGAGAACTTCTAAGGGGTTGAGGGACTTGGGGATGTAGAAAGAGAGGTGACATACTTCAGTGTTAATCTGGTAGTATGTTTGCATTTCTGCTTGCTGTCCTTTAGTACAACGCTGTTAAACTTTGAGCTTGTTTTCAAGAGGCTTGTAGAACTTTTATGTAAAAAGTTCTGACATTTGCATGCTTTCTGAGCAGGAACCCCTCAAAGAAATGCTAAATAAAATAATCAGAATTTAGATGAAAAATCTTTCTTTTCTTAATGTGATGCAAGGTACTCGAGTGAATCTGCATTTGCTTAATTTAGTTAGGTGCTTAGCCTTGTTTTATTAATGATTAGTAAGCAGTTTTGGGGATGCGTTTTAGAAAGTCTGTAGCACTCCTTGGAAGAATATACTGACCATCTAATTGCTGGTGTTTTCCTTTGCAGAGCTAGAACTGTTAGAACTGAGTATGGCCATGACTCTTGCTAGTTTGTTGGGAATGTTCAAACTCAGCACTCAAGCTGGCAATTTGTATAAAGGCACTTCTACCAATTCTGCCTCTTTTAGGGCTGTCTGCGTAGAAAGCTTGCCTTTCTTAAAACAGAAGGCAAAATTTAATGTGAAATAGAGTGCTCTCTTAGTTGCAGCTCTTCTCTTTCTGACAAACCAAACCTCCTGCATTTCTAGCTGACTTTGAAACAGCAGTACCTTATGCTTATAAGCTTTAAATTCCTGGTGCTGTCATAACTATCTTTGGTGTGAGTGAAGGCCAGAAGTGCACTACTCAGGACCTGAGTAATTAAGCTAAGAGACCACCAAAGCAATAATTTCCTGTATTTGATAGTATTAACTAGTTTTGCAGGCTTTATCAGACTTTGGGTAGAGGTAGTGAGCCTCTACAGTTGCAATAGGTATAGAGATATTAATCCTGAAACTATTTGCTTTGATTTCTATAATGTAAGCCTTGTTAGAAAGGGGCAAACCCATTGCTTCCTCCCAGGTATCTTTCCCCACTTCCCTGGTGCTGTCCTGTTGCAACTGGAGGTCACAGTAGTCCATTTTCTAAATGAAAGAACACAGGCTGTAGCTGAATGTACAGCTTTATCACCTTGCAGTCGTTTGCTTTTTGTAATTAGTGCAGAGCTATCATGCTTGAAAGATTCTTCTTGTTAGAAGCCCCATTAGGTTCTGATTGGATATGTATTTTTTTGAAGTATGAATGACTAAGATTGTATGCACACTTCTTTTCTTTTTTTGCAGATATCCAAACATATCCTGTGAGCTGCTCACTTCAGATGTCTCACAGATCAATGATAGGCTGGGAGAAGAAGAATCCTTACTTACGAAACTGTACAGCTTCCTCTTAAATGAATCTCCTCTAAACCCTTTACTTGCCAGTTTCTTCAGCAAGGTGCTAAGTATTCTCATAAGCAGAAAACCAGAACAGGTAAATGATTAAAAGCTCTCCAGTTTAACAGCTTTGGATTTGCCTGAGCTGTTTGGGCGAGTGAACTGCCTTTGTGTGTTTGCCTTTTAGCTTATGTCAGTATTTGCATGGTGATGTTAGTATTAAATTGCTGTGCTGTTGGAGTCATGGGTAAATGAATACAGTCAGTGGGGAGCAAAGAACTGTCATAGAAAAGGGTGAGAGACATTTGAGTCCTCGTTCAGAAGCGCAGTACTTGTGTGTTCATGCTGCCCTGCATTAACAGCTGGCATGTCTGGCTGTGCTACCTGAGCAAGGTAAGTTTGTGACTGCCTGCTGTGCTTTTGTTTCAGTAATTTCTGTATTTGCTTGAAAGCATATTACATTGAGGTTTTGCTGTGTCCCACTTCGCTTCCTGAGCCAGGTGTGGGGGAACCTCATACCAAAAAAGCTGGTTTTGAAAGGAGGCTCCATGTGTGCACACAGATGGATCTGTTTTGTGCCACTCTGTATGTGTGGCTTTTTATCTTGTACTACTGGCTTTAAGAGGTGGAAGCATTTAAGAAGTTATTATTTCTTTAGCAAGTGAGAGGAACTAAAACTGGTTAGTGTAACTTATGTAAAATACAGGTAAGCAAATGTAAGCTTCTTCCTTGTTCATTTCTAGATTGTGGACTTTTTAAAGAAGAAACATGATTTTGTAGACCTTGTTATTAAGCACATAGGGACCTCTGCTATCATGGACTTGCTGCTCAGGCTACTGACTTGCATAGAGCCTCCACAGCCCAGGCAAGAAGTGTTGAATGTGAGTAAAACTTGCAGTTTTTGTCTGAATTCTGAACTGTCAAAAAAAAACTTTATAACCTGTTTAGACTGTTTATACCATTCTTGACCCATAATACCCTGCTAGGCATTTTGGGAAGAGATTATAAGAGTTGTGGGTTTTTGTTTGTTTTTTACATGTGTTCATGAACTCTTAATTTTGCTTCTGCCCTTTTTCTCTGAAGTGCTGTTAATCCTTGTTTAGAAATATCAACAGCATGACTCAGGGCACTTTTCAAGCTACCTTTTAATTCCCTCAATTAAATTCATTCACTTGGACAACGTTCTTACCAATGTCCACAAATGCTTTTACAGTGGCTAAATGAAGAGAGGATTATCCAGCGGCTTGTAGAAATTGTACATCCATCTCAAGATGAAGATGTAAGTATTGGTCTGATGTTCTTTTTGATTGCTGTGCAGTAGTGTTAGAACTCTTCTAGTTGGACTGTTTTCTGCTTGTTTATTTTCAGCAAGCTAATTCCAGTAATTAATGGTGTAGTAGTTTGTGCTTGGGAAAGGCTTGCTTTTCTTCCCTCTTTCTTTGGGATTTGCAGAGTGTATTGGAGCCGGGTCAAAGCACAGTGTAGACTAAATGTTATTTTGAGTGTTCAGCTCTAACGTTCTGCCTTTTTAATACTGCAAATACTTTCAATACCAAAAGCTTTTTGTCTTGTTAAGATTTAGATATGGCATAGTACAGTTGTCTAAAGTGTTTTGTGGTAGAAAAGACTGTCAATTTTGCGGGTTGTTTTAATGAGGAATTCTACTGCTCCACGTTATTAATCTACTGATGCTATGTTTTTCTGTTCCAGAGACATTCAAATGCATCGCAGTCACTCTGTGAAATTATTCGTTTAAGCAGAGATCAGATGTTACAAGTGCAGAACAGCTCAGAACCAGATCCCCTGCTTGCAAGTCTAGAGAAGTGAGCTGGTTTGCCCAATTTCTGATATATTTTTTTCCAGTTAATCAGAGCAGCATTTAACATTTGTCCTTTAAAAGCTTTAGAACTGCAGTCTCCGCTTTCCTGATAAGTTCTCCAGACTGCCTGTTATTATCTGTGTAATTTAAGATGGCTTTGCAAATAAGCACAGCTTACCTGGATGAATTCCCTGATGGCTTCTCTTAACATTTTGTCCCATTCTTTTACCTTGCTTCTGACTAAGGAATGTTAGACTAAAATATTTCCTGCTCTGTCAAAGTTGATGGGATCAGACATATAGAGGTCAGCTTGATACAGTGCAGAATGTGCATTGGGAACTTGGGCTTCAATCTGTTATTTTAAGTTAATCTAAGTGTTTGATTGTACTTGAAGATTTTTGTCTATCACCTTCCTTGTTTTGCTGGTTCTAGGGTTAGGTTTGTGGCTCTGTGACATGGTGAGTTGGTCTTTTGGTCTGACTGCAAACTATCCTTTTCTATCATATTGATTGTCAGATTCAAAACCAAACGAGATCAGGAGTAGTAGGGAAATCTTACTGCAGTGGTGATGATGGAGGTGACTGTGGTAACAAACCTGGTAGCTTGAAATAATACTTTTACTTTATCCCGTTAGTTAATTTGACAGGAGCAAACAGTAACTAGTTCTCTGTGATAACTGTGTCATAAAGAACTGTTGTGTCTGATGGCAGTGCTTTGTTTTCAGACGAGAAATCATTGAGCAGCTGCTGTCTAATATTTTTCATAAAGAAAAAAATGAATCTGCAATAGTCAGTGCAATCCAAATATTACTGACCTTGCTTGAGACAAGACGACAGACGTAAGTGTTCTTATTACTTATGCCTGCTTACTTTAACTCAACTGCTGACATGCCTTCTGTGTCCTTGACTGAAATGTTTTAGTGGTCCATCACAGCTGAAGTGAAACAAAGGAGCCATGTGTAATAATGCCAGTATCGATCAGTTCCCCCAATGACTGATTTTTCTGCAGGTTTTTTCTTGGAACTTGCCACTTGATGGATCAGACTCATTTCATTTCATCTTTTTTTCCCTAGAAACAGGAAGTAGAGCACCTATGTACAGTGTAGCAATTGGATATCAACTTCCCCCCCAAAAAAGTTAGGTGGAATTCTATCACAATTTCACTTCAAGAAACAAGTGAACAGAGGTTTGATTGTTTAATAGACAGGTGAAGCTCTTCCTCACAAAAGAGGGAATATAGCAGCTGTAATAGTCTATCACTAGCTGAAAACCATGCTGGACGTTTCAGATGTGATAAATGTAGGTACCTTAGGTCTAGTGTTTGGAAGAATCTTGCTCCACCATAAGTTTGTGCTTGATTTTATATTTTTAAGATGATGTTCCTGCTCTCCTCTTCATTCTGTTTATGTCTTCAAAATAGTGACACTCAAAATTATGCCTGAGTGTTGTTTTAGACCTAGTTTTGGCATTAATAATCAGACATGGCTTGTGTGCTTTAGATTTGAAGGCCATATAGAGATCTGTCCTCCAGGCATGAGCAATTCAACGTATTCTGTCAATAAAGGTGTTCTAGAAGCCATAAAAGCACGACTTTCATCCTTCCATGAACTCCTACTTGAGCCTCCAAAAGTAAGTGAAACATTACGTTGTCAAAGAATTTGAAGCAAGACTGTCACTGCATGATTGTATTTTAGTTGGGTTTCAAGAACAAAGCCCAGTTTGTCTGACAACTTTCAGGCAAGAGCCCAGGTTCCTTCCCTGCCTCTTGTGACCTTTTCTGTTCATTATATTTGTCTCTGAGCCAATATTTTTTGCTAATTGATACACTTTTCCAGCTTAAACTCAATTCAGCTGGCAAGTAGCCTTGAAGATTACTTCCTTCTGAAAGCAAGGAAATAAGAATTTCTTTTCTATTTTTGGCAGTCGGTACTGTTTTCAGCCCCATAAATCCTATCTGAATGGGAAACAAAGATTCTGGCTGCCTCAGTTGTTTGGAACTTGTGCAGGCCTCGTGTTGGCTGTGCAGAGTTCTTCTAGACTTGTGCAGGTCTAAGAGTAGACCAGCTCTATTGCGTGTACCACGCACTCCAAGCATACTAAATGCTGCTTTGTTCAACTGATTTTATTTTTTTTTTAATGATAAGCAACATATCCGTGTCATGCTGTTACTAAAGATAAATGCAACCAGCTGTATGAATAGATATTTTATCTATGGTTTTTTTTCCCCATACAATTATCACCAGTAGGATTTCAGCTGGAACGTGGTTTGGATCAGGGTGCTGCAGTCTGTATGAGAAATGGACCTGAGAATCAGAGTTAAAATGGCCATCTTATAAAAGATCAGATAAAAGGAACGAGTTGGGATGAGGATGATGGAAAAAAGGTAGTGGTAAAGACTGTTGTAGCCTAGAAGAGATGAGGCCTCAAACACTGAAGTGCAGAAGAGTTGAAAAATACATAGAAATTGTCTTGATTTAAAATATACAACATAGCAAGATACAGATCTATGTTGAATTAAAAGCAATGTATCTGAGTATTTTCCAGTGTTTGGAATGCTAAGCATTTAAATAAATCATCTAATGAAGTTATTAAGTCTGCTTTCTTTAAGCAGTGGTGAAATGAGCATCTTTTTATATCCGTGCCCTTAGATTTTGTGTTAAAGACTGGACCTAACGTGATCTCAGTCAGTTTTGACACAAGGGAGAAGCAGTATTTAGGCAAGAAATGAAGCTAGTTGTGGAAGGCAGTACATTTCATCATGCCCTGCTTCTCCAAGTGCTTTAATACAGAAAGAAAGACATCTTCATAACTTTGCCTTCCTCGTGGCATAGTTGTTGCTACTAGACTTTTCTCTTGGAGTAGTCAGTACTAGGTTTCTTTGGCTGATAATTAATTATGTGATAGCAGGTCTGATCTGGCAGCCAGCTAAAACTTTGGTGTAAAAGCTATGGCACATATTGTAAAATGAAGACCTGTTAGTGCGTGGAAGGAGTTGTTGCTGATGGAAGTAACTCATTAGGACACCGTGGATGGAGCCTGTTTTGCTTATGACGCTACAAGAATGCACCAAGAGAAACTTTTGAAATCATTTTCATGTACATGAAATCAGGGTTATTGAGGCATAATGTGTGCTTACAGACTGTCCCCCAGCTGTTTTCAAGTACTATAGTAGTGCAGACTGTAACTGAGTATGTGGATTAATGAGTGAGAAGTGTGAGTATTTCCTATTCCTTTTTGTGGAATGCATCTGTTCCAATATTCTGTAGCTACCAAGCAATTTTTAGTGTCTTTGGTTTTATGTTTTATGGGGCTGTTTTCCATTGCTCCTTGTCTATAGATAGAGTTGAAATAAACTTTTTTCAGGATTGAGAACTGCTTTCCTGCAATTTTTCTGCATAATAGTAATGAGGTGTTTGGTGTTTATTTTTTCACTGTTCTTTAATATGAAATTTGAATGATTCTGTGCTGCTTTAATTTTTTTTTTCCAGAAAAGTGTCATGAAGACAACGTGGGGTGTATTGGATCCACCTGTGGGGAACACACGTTTAAATGTGATTAGATTAATATCTAGCCTTCTGCAGACAAATACAAGCAGCGTGAATCAGGAGCTTATAGAACTAAACAGCATAGGAGTTATACTGGTAAGAACTTCATGCTGCCTTACTTCTGTGAATTGCTAATCAGGACTTTTCTGATCTTTGTTGATGCAGATATAGTATGGTTTCCAGCTTTTCAGTTTGTGTTTTAGCTTCTATTGCATTGACAGCTCTCAATTTCTAGTTTCACTGTTAAATGTATTCGTTTGTAGCATTTTCTTTCCTCTGATCATTCCTACGCATCTTACTCTTTGCACCTTCATAAATCTGCATGATTCTCTTGGACTAGTTTTCTTAAGCTTATTTTTTCAGCACCATGTGCTTGAGTTTTCAGCAGTGTTCAAAGCTTCCCTGCCATTCTTATTCTTTTGCCAAGCTAGCTCCTCAACTTCTTTGTCCCTCTTCTAATGTGTAACACACTATATGCTATTTCAGTGCCTTCCTAAAAAAGGGACAAGTTACTCTTGGTAGTTTAGAGAATTTCAAAACTGCAAGCAAAATGTGGCACGAGAAACTCGTAGTCAATGAATGAGAGGGTACTTCCTACCTCTTCGACTGCAGCAGGAAAATTCTTAGGTTGACCAAAGTGTTCCAATGTTGATATCAGTTAACAAATACCCAGCAAAACATGCTGGAATTTATACTGTAGTATCAGAATGTGATGAAAGCTGCTGATTCTAAGCAGGTAATTGCAAAGTTTAAAATATTAATGTTTTTCTGGCCTCAGATTGATTTAATCTAAAATCTTTCCTCCAACTAAAGTAGCTGAAGTTATGTCGTCTTCTCAGTGTCTCCATCTCCATTTCTCTGTCCAGCTTGGGTTTGCAGACAGGTATTAAGTGTATAGAAATAGAAATAACATCATTCTGACATGAATTCCCATTATCTAAGGGAATACATGTGATTTTCTTCCTAAACCTACTTATAAGAACAATCCAACATTCACAGCACATCTAAATTCAGCAGATTTCTTATAAGGAAAACCAGTGGTACCTGCCCTGAATTTCAGTGCTTCATGGTGTTTCTGAAACAACACGTACTCTGCTGCATATTCCTTATTAGGAATAGTAATTGTTCCCTTCAGTAACTTAGCTTTTGTCCAGGCTGTCATTAGTTTAGGAAAGTTGAAGGGGAACTGTTAGGTTCTTCAGATGTAGCTTGAATGAGACTTGAATTACATTATGTAATGCTCCTTCCATCACTGCATGTATTTCCATTACTAATCTTGTTTCCCTGGGACAGCAATCATTTGAGTTTTGTAGTAAGAAATAGTCTAAAATGACTGGATGTAAAGTTTGGAAAAAAGGAAAAAAGTGAAATCTGATGCTTAAAAGGAGATCTGTGACCAACTAGGAACATGACTAGATGAACACAATTCATGATCTGTCAACCTCAGTATTTGTCTTGTGTGAAGCATTAAATAATCTCAAATTGCATCTGGATTATCTGAGATAGCCTTCTTTAAGAGAAGAATAAAACCAGTATAGATAGTAGGTTCAAAGCAGTTAGATGTAATTTCTTGCAGAGTGTCTCAATAAAGGCAGAAGCGTGTCACTGAAGGATATTGGAGGCACTAAAAGTCTGTGGTGGAAAAAAGAAAAAAAATTGTTCAGGGCTAAGGTCATAAATGGCATTACTTTCTCAGGGCTGTTGCTAGCAGAAAGAACTTAATGGGGAGTATCATTTTAGCTTTCTTTGTCTGAAAGTGCACTATTGGTTGCCCCCAGGCTAACTCTAGCTTCAGTTTTTACTCTCATCCAGCATGATAGTCCTTATGCTCTGATAACAGCGAGCTGAAGAAATAACTTCTTTGTAAATCACGCTTTTGCTTGCACAGTGAGAGTTATTACAGAACTTGGAGAACTTGCTTGCGTTGCTGTTCACATTACTTGCTGGAGAAAGTCTTCTGTTTGAAGAGACCCTGGTTTGTATAAACTCTTTTGAATTTGTTTTTCAGGACATGTTCTTTAAGTATACGTGGAATAACTTTTTGCATACTCAAGTAGAAATCTGTATTGCATTGATTCTTGCAAGTCCTCTTGAAAGCACAGAAAATGGCACAATTACAGATCAGGATTCCACTGGGGACAATCTTTTATTGAAACATGTAAGTTGTGTTTTTGGAAGGAGTTTCTTCAATACTCCTACCTCCACGACATGGTAGCAGTTACTCTTACATAAAACATAACTCAATTTTCCTTCATATAGAATTAAGAGTTCTTTGTTTTTTTGTTTTCTTAACATGTCAATTCTGGTTATTAAACCCAAGAGTGCCACAAAGTGGGTTTTTGCTGCCTTCAGAGTAAACGTGTGTGTAGAGCTGCAAAAGCTCCCTTTTAATTGAAGTTCCACTTACTGTTAAGAATTAAAATTGCTATTTCAGTGTCTGTTCACTTCTACAGTTCAGCAGCTGCCATCAAAGAGAAGTCAAAATAATGTAGCTTCAGCCTTCAGGCTTTCGCCTGGGATCTGGCTGCTGCTTCTGAGCATTGAAGCCCTTAATCCAAGTATCTATCCTGAACCTGAAACTAGTTGCCTTGTAAGACATGAGGATTTCTTAAAATCAGCCCCGAAATGCACAATGTTCCATTTAACTTTACAGCTATTAAGTATATTTTGCATTTTATTCCACAGCTCTTTCTTAAGTGCCAATTAATAGAACGAATACTTGAAGCATGGGAGATGAATGAGAAGAAGCAGTGAGTAACTAGTTTTCTCATTTCCTGCAGTTGTCTAAATACAGTTTTAATTGTGAAATGTATACATGATCAATTCAGACTGAGCTGACCAACAAATACACTTGCTTAGAATGTTTTAAAGACAAATGCATCTCTTTCTTGAAATATGCAGTGCATTAAATATTTACTTGGAAGAACAGTTTGCTTGGTAGTAAGTGGAATAATTAAGTTCTACAAACAGTTAATATTTGGATTAAAGCTTTCACATATACTGAATTTTCTTTAAGAGTCCTTCTGTTTCTCTTAGTAATGCCTGAAGTTTAGACCATCTTTTTGGTAGCATTTGAATACATTTTCCCATTACCATATAGGGATAGAACCAAGTCTGTAATTCCTATTCTGTGTAAAACATCAGCCAGTTGACTCTACCCATCTTCAATTACAGAAACATATCATGAAGTTTTAAAGGAATAGGGGGAAAAAACCACACTTTTGGTCAGTAAGCAATTGAAAATTAATAAACAGATCAAAGCATGTTACGTTTTGGGCAGCAACAGACTCATAATTAACAGAAGTGAAGATCTCAGCAATGAAATACCTTCTGGAAGTGTGTGATTGTGGAAAGGATGCAAGTTTCAGGTAGCCAGTACTGTCTGAAATTGAGTTCATATCATGAGGAAAAGCTTCCAGTCTTCACCTGAGGTGGTATAATGGTGCTCTGAAGGCTCTTGTATTTCGCTTGAGAGACTTCTGAACAGTGAATGTTAGAGCTGACTTGTGAAAATACTGTTAGCTGACTGGGATACTGTTGCTGGCTTGCTGGTGTATTATTTGAGGAAACAGTACCATTCCCTGAAATAGTCCTATTCCTATCTGGTGTGAATCAGAAAATACATGACTAGTGCAGCTGACCTAAAAGTAAGGATGTTGGAATATCTGAACACAGTGTTATGAAGAAAAGGGATGCAATTAGTAGGGATTCTGGCTAGGTTAGATCAGGCTGTCCCATCTATCTTCTGTCATATATCATCGTTATCTCCTGAGGTTATAGGAGAACTACTAACCTAGATTATGAGCAAATAGATTCCTGTTTCTATACATTCAACCTAAAACTATTTTTTGGTTGGATTTCCTTGATTTTAATGCCTGCCATGTAGGAGAGTTCATTACCTATTTGCTATTGAAAGTTTGTGGTATTAGTGGGAAAGCTGTTGGTATAAACATCTGATTCTGCTTCTGTGTGGAAAAAATTGATTTACTCTTTGTATCTGTTTTAGTTTCCATGGAAATAAATAGGAAGCATTACTTTCAGAGCGACCTACATACTACCCTAACAGATAATGCAGCAGAGTGCTCAGAGTGTATGGGAGCACTGGAAAATATTCTCAGCAGCAGTGTTTTTCTGAATGTTACAGATGTGTTGTCAGTTTTGTCTTCATCTTGGTATTCAGGGTATTCTTTTTCCCCGCACACCAACTTGAAAACAGAAATGATCTGTTCAGATGCTCTGAACTTCCTTCTTGGTAGTTACAGCCCTGTCAGGCTCCTGGATGGCTCAGTATAATCTAAACACTTGTATCTTAAATTGAGTATTTTTGTGTGCCTCTCGTTTTAGGATGCTGCTCTTACGTTTTAAGAACTTGGAGGTTAACTTGTCTGTCTTGTATAAGTTCTTAACTCTGGTGGAATATTTTGTAACAAAATACAATAGCAGAGCTGCTCAGTGTGCATGTGGTTCCATTTCTTTGGTCTCTTGCAGGGCTGAAGGAGGAAGACGGCATGGCTATATGGGTCATCTGACAAGGATAGCAAACTGTATTGTGCATAGTACAGATAAGGGCCCTAACAGCACGTTAGTCCAGCAGCTTATCAAAGGTAACCTTAACGCTCTTTGCCTTTCTGTTTGTGAATTCCAGCATCGCAGCTTTAGGAAGTTGATCAAACTTAAATTAGAAGGCAGATTTTGGATTAAAAAAATAGAGATATTTCTGACACATTCAGCTTAAAACCACTCCTCCTTAAACAGATGTTTAATTCTCTTTCAAACTTACCTGAATGGTATTGAAGCTCCTTGAAGTAAATGTAAAGAGATGCTGGCCTGCCTAACTAGGGCTTCTTTGCTAGATGAGGTAGTCCACATGGTTTTAGTATTTGTATGTTGTTACAATATTTCTGATTGCTTTGATTTATAAGAGGAAAAGAGAAACTAAAAATGGTGATGCTTTACTGTTGATTGTAACACATTGTTTTTCCTATCCTAGAGCTTCCAGAGGAGGTCAGAGAGCGGTGGGAGACATTCTGTACGAGCTCTTTAGGAGAAACTAACAAAAGGAATACGGTGGATCTTGTAAGTGGTGTTGGTTAACATTAAAAAATTTCCTGCCGTTTGCTTCAGCCCCGTTGTTGTTTTTTCGTGCCATTAGTACAGTCAGTCTTTCCTGCTGCCAGGCTACCAAGGTAGCTTGTGTGAAATCAGGTGCTTCCAGTCTGCAGATTTTATTGCAGGGCTGGATGATAGGCGTGCAAGAAAAAAGCACCCCAGGTCATGTGGCTTTTAAGTAAGAGTTACACATCAAAGGAGAAAGCGTAGAAACAGAGTATACTTCAGGAAAAAGTTGTCTTCATTTGTCTGTTGCATGCCTGTCCTGACTGTGGTATTGCATTTGTGGGAGCATAAGAAGGTGTCTGTGAAGCTTTTACATTTTCTGTGTTTAAACATGGCTTTTGTGTAGACTGATCTCTTGTCAAAAGATCAGTAAATAAATTCACATCATTTAACTGCGTTTACTTGAGAATCTGTACCATGGAGTTGTAGGGGTGTGTGCAGTAGGGCAGTGTAGTGTAGTACTGAGCAAGCTGTCATCTGCACATCTGCTTCGTATGAATGATTGTCCCTGAAGCGTGTCTTAAGGCTCAGCTGTAACTACTGTTATTTTGCCTCATTGCTGTCCTGGCTAAAATTTCTTTTGGAGTGCTGTTCTAATAGAAAATAGCTACTTCCAAGAACAAGTTCAGCCACACTGCTGCTTAAGGAACAGCAGACTATTTGCGCTGATTCTGTGTTGCATGATCAAAACCATATCTTCTTTTTAGGGTAATGGTTCAAACAGTTGTTGCTATGGTAATAACTCCATGTTTGCTTCTGCAAGCAGATGCTGATTATGAATTTTTGAAGGTGAATCATTTATTGGTTTTTATTTATGCAAATACTGTAGACACCTGAGACAGTCGTTTCATTTTCCTGTGTTCTTTGTTTTGGAAAGGAAGATCTGTGTATAATCCAGCCTTTTAGTGGCTATTAGTTCACATATCTTACAATAAAAATACAAGATTCAAGTTCTCTCAGGTGTAGGTTAATGATATTGAAATACTTCGGGGTAGTAGTAGTCTAGCAGTTGAGAAAACTGCAATTCAGTTTCTTGTTTGGATTTGAAATTATCACACAATAAGCAAATGACTCAATTATTTTGTATAGGTCACTACCTGCCACATTCATTCTTCCAGTGACGATGAGATTGACTTCAAAGAAACTGGCTTCTCACAGGATTCTTCTTTGCAGCAAGTGAGTTGAACTCTTCTAGCTGCATAAGTTGTTTTTATCTTAAAAAACAAAAACCAAAAAAACCTGGAAATAATCCTTCTACATTTGTACTGCTTGCAGTAGATTTTTTAACTTATTTAGATGTGTTCTCATGCACACGTTTACTTTATTGAGCCCATAGATGTGACTTGGCCTCTCAGTCTTCAGTTTTTAAACTGAGGTAGAGCTGTGTACACAGGTCTCTGCTCATTACACCTAAGCCATTTCATATGCTAGCTGTGTGGCTGAGCTGAACACAGTTTCTGTGACCTTTGTTCTTACTAGATGGAGAAGGCTGATACGGTGAATTCTAATTGTTTTTCTGGAAAATATTAATTGCTCTGAAATCAGAGTTGGGGTTCTGTTGGGTCTTGGTTAATAGATTTTTCTTAACATGTTGATCCTGACTTCAGTGGGGAAGGGGTGGGTTGTCTGTATGTTGTTGCATGCTTTTAGTTTAAGGCAAAATGTCAGGAGCTGCAGTTGTCACAACAATATAAACAAAGAGCCAGCTAAGTACAGCTCTGTGACAGATTGTATCAAGCAGCTGGAATGGTTTTAACTTTGTAGACCCTTGCTACTGGGCAGATGGACATAGCTCAATCTTTGTGAATTAAATTTCTAATGTGCTAGATGGCTTATTTGTGATTCAGTACGTGCTTTTGAGATCTCCTTTGTGAGTGTTTCAAAGATAGCTATTTATCATTTAAGGTAAGAAAAAATTAAATCTGAGGCTGTAAGGAAGTTTCAGATTCACCAGACTGAAAGCTTAAATCACAGCTATGTCCACCTTGAAGCTTTAGTACTTATAGTAACTGATAACTCTGTATTTAATATGGTGATGGCATTTGGAGTATTTTGGGGGTGAGTGATTATGGAGAACATTGGTGCCATTTTTATGAAGCATGACAGAATTTTTTCTAAAAATACTGTCTGCAATATAAATTTCCTTTAACTCTTCCATGGATGGTGAAAGAGTGGCAGCTGCTGGTGTGTAGTTTTGTCATGCAAAACTACTGATAGGTGCCCTATTCAAAGCATACAACTCATCTAGGTTATTAATCAAAATCATATTTCTTTTAGCTCATACTAACAGCTGTCTGGTACCTAGTCTAAGACTGGTTTTGGTACTTTGCACATTTTCTATACTCTTAATGATAAGTAATTGCTTTTCAAGGTTTGAATTGGGAGTGGTGGCTCAAATTTAGAGAGTTTCATTTTTATTTGCTCCATGGGTCTTGTGCATGTATGGTCTGCTTAAATTCCAGCATGATAGGTTGGATGCCATCTGAAGCAGCTCTAGTGAGAAAGTGAGATCTCAAAGCAACTCTGTGCTTCTCATGCACCCCTTAATAATCCAGGCAGCTAATCTCCAGAAATGCAGGTAGTACTGCAGTGAATAACTTGAAGGAAACAATATTTATATATATATATAAATATTGTAATAATATGTAAAATAAAATATACAATTACAATAAAATATTGTAATAATATGTAAAATAAATATTTAAAAAAAATTATATATATATATATATATATATTTTTTTCCTTAGCTAAATAAGCTGTACATTTTAAAGTTGTCTTGTGAGGAAAGCAAGATATTAGACAAGATAAGTCACTGATGGGAAATGCATTGAAATTACTAAAAACATTCTTTAATGAGTAAAGATAACTGGCTGCAGCTAAGCCTAATCTCTGTAGACCAGTAAGTAAAGGGGGGGGATCAGGAGGGTACCCATTAAGAAGTAATGAGTGAGGAGTGGGAAATACTAAGGAACCTGTTTACCTTTTAATTTTTTTGTCAAATTTAACTTTTGTTTATGCAGAATTACACTTGCATCCAAATTTAGTTTGATGCTGTGCTTCTAATAAGTCCCCACTGTGCCCAAAAGAAATGTTTCTTTTCACTCAGAGACACTTCTAATGCAGGTTTCTGATGAGCACTTCAGAACTGATGTCTTTGATAAAGGTGTCTTCCTGACAGCTGAGCCTGGGATGTAAGGTTTCTCATGCCATTACTATTTCATGTGCTGCCTTGCTATGGCTGTAGAAACTCTTCCATTGTTCTTTTGTTCTGCACTAGTTTAGTGTTGCTTTTTGTCCCTTTTTCAAACATTTGACCATGGGATGGAACTGTCTTCTCCTAGGCACACAAGCAGTTGGTAATTGCATTTTGTATGCTGTTGTATACAATTCTGATGTAGTGACCAAAGGAGTTTCATAATCCCTTCATGTCACGAGACTCATGTCTTAGTTTTCTGTTTATCCTGGTGACTGGCATTCATGGCTGCACCCTGTTTTCACTCCTGACTTTTAACATCCATAATAGCGAAGATGCTTTACAAGAAGAGTTCTCAGTAACCAGCATAAAGATGAATAATGATTTAGTGGGACAGTCAGTAATTGATTGTTAACCTACGTAAGGCTGATACATGAATTGTGTTGGAATGAAATCCTGAGGTTCTGAAACGCTCTCAGATTTTAAAATCTGAGATCAAAATACAAGAGTTTCTGCTTTGGCTTGGTGTAGCATAGTAACCCTACGTACCGGTGCCTGCATTTGGGTTTCTCAGACTCACTGATGGTATCTTGCTATTTGTCTCATACTTCTATAGCCATCATTTTTCTCTTTCCTGCCTTAATTCAAACTTTTTTTCCACTGTTCCCTTGTTTTCTTTCTGTATTCACCTTGTTCTGCTTCATCACTTTCTTTAGAGGTTCTGCCTGTATGCTGTGACCCCTTGGCTACCTGGGAAGGCAGCAAGAGAGTTGACATCAGCCATGTGTCCTGGAGTAGCTTGACCTTGGCTGACGTTACACGCAGAAACAACACTGTTAAAGGTTCCAGGAGAATGAGTACTAATTTAGTTCATAGTCCTGGTACACCTATCTGCTGGCATTTGGCACTGACATCCTTTTTAAAACATAAACACAGTTGTGACGCTGCACTGACGTGTGGGATGTGAAATAACTTGCTGTGTATGCTCTTCAGTTTCTTCTAGATGTTGAAGAGACACAATTAGTATGTATGTATGAGCAATACAGCTAATATATGAACTCATTATCTCTGCTTAATGGACTTCTCTGCATTTTTTTCTGCTCATATCTTAATATTCATATTAAGAAAAGCAGCTGCTTCTTTTGCCAAGTATGTTGTGTTGCTCCCCTGCTTAAGGGTGCATTCAGAATGGTGCTGGTTAACACATGGTTAAACTAGAGATTTAACTTTCTCATTAAGAGCTGCAATTAGACTGGCTTTCAAATCAGTAAATGTAGTCAGTATTACCATTAAAATTCCAAGGGTATGGCAGATCCTTTTGCTGACTCTTATGTTTAGATTAGAGAGACTTTTATTTCTTTGGAGCAAAATGGGCAAATAGGATTTAGAGTATTATTAGAATCATTATATCACTGTCGTTGGTCCTGGGGTTGCCAGGCCTTTTCTGATTATCAGATGCAACAAATGACGTCCAATTTTATTGACCAGTTTGGCTTCAACGATGAGAAGTTTGCTGATCAAGATGACATCGGCAAGTGAGTATATTATTATGCTGGTTCTGACTGTACTCTCTGGAACTTTTTTTTTCTTTCTGTGGTTTTGATGATGACAAATACCAGCCTATATCCATGTGATGCAGTTGGCTATCAGTCTTGTCTTCTGGTACCAAAATGTGTTTGAGCGCTCTTACAAAGCCTCTCTGAGCAGTTTATATGGGAAAGCGACAGCTAAATCGTTCACTTGAAATGGCCTGGCTGGCCAGTGTGAAAACAAAGCTTGTGAGTGAAGAATAAATTGTAGCTCTGCTATTAAAAGCCAGATGTGACCAATGAGTTGGCTTTATTGGGGAGCACTTCTGCTTGCAGGCACAGAGGGAGTCATTGACCCCTCTGAATCAGTGTAGCAGAACGGGTAGTTGCTCTGCTTAGAAGTTTGCCTATGAAGATGGTGGGAATCCATGCCCCGTTTCCTGTAGAGGAAACTGAGGGAGGGCATTATAAATCTGCCCTTGTTTCTAAGAACATAGCAGTTAAGATGTAAGAGCATGTCTTGGTCACGTTTTATAAACAACAAAAGCAAGTGGAAAAAGACAAGAAAACCAAAACTATGACAAACTTTTCTGTTTTTTTTTCAATTCAAAGTAAACTGATGCATAATGAGGAAAGAATGGGAGTTCTAACTGAAAGCAATACTGATTTAATTAGAATTCATGGCTTGGGATGAAAGAAGATGTAGTTAAAATTGAGTAAAAACATTATTTGATGATGGTTTGTGGAAGCGTAAAAAGGCAATGAAATGTAAGATCTTTGCTCTTCTGTAAGATGTGGTTAGTAACTGATGGCTACCTGCAACTTGCACATGCCTTCCAAGAAGCAGAGCTGCCTTGTTACACCACATAATCTGCTGGGAGGATAGGTGAAGTTTAGATGGGTGAGAAAGTAGCTCAGTATACTGTGGAACTTGGCTAGAAGCAAGTGAATTTTGGCAAGAGTGGGGGTTGGAACTCCTTTGTAGTGTATGATCTTGGTGGAAGGAAGATAGATGACTTAGTGAGACCTTGAGCTATGTGGTAGGTACGCTGAGTTTAATTCAGTTGTAGATTAACTGCCTTTTACTTTAAGATTATGCCTCTTGTGCAAGAATCAATTGCAGCTTAAATTACCTGCGTAGTGCAACTTCTAGCTAGGTGGTGATCCTGGGGTGGGTGGGGGCAGCTCCCATGGTAGTGCAGCCACATTTGACACTTGGTACTTTGGATCTCTGGTCTTGTACCTTCTTGGTCTCTAAAGCTGTGAGGATTAGAGGAAGAGAGTAGCTCTGAATTCACTGCTGTACGTGACCAGAGAATGTATTAACTCTTCTGAGAGTTTGTTAGGTTATCCTTCCTCTTTCTGTTTTCTTGCTTCCCCCAGAGATTCGATTTGCCTGGTGTTATTTTTGATCTAAGCTGTACCTGTATTAGTTTGTAAAACTGCTGGAAAGTTTGATATGTGGAGAAGTGTGAAGCCTCCAACTTAATGTGCAGCTTGGGGGGAAGCAGGTTTAACTTCCGTGTAGCAGTCGGTTAAAAAACCAGAGCTGTTCAGTGTTGTCTTCAGAAAACCAAAGTTGATGTTAATTTTTCACATTGCTGCTGCTTGTTAAGAAGGACCTTCTGGAGAGAGGTGAAATCAATTGTCAGATAAAAGACCTGCTAACGAGATCTTTGGAGGATTCAGTTAGAGATGTATCTTTAAAATACTTGACAGCTGAGAAAGCCTCAGGAACGACGGACTTCCTTAGTAGAATTTGTGTGCTTGGTTTTGTGTTGGAAATGACTGCCTCTTTAGGTTTCTCACTTTCCTAGTCTCATAGCGTAAGTAAGGACTTGTGAAAATGACATGTCCTCGTGTGATAACATCATCTTTTCTTAGTGTATTTCATGCATCATTTATTTTGCAGTGTTTCTTTTGATCGGGTCTCAGACATCAACTTTACCCTCAATACAAATGAAAGTGTAAGTATGCATTCCTGTGCCTGCAGAAAAATTGCCGTCTCTTAAACTGAGTGACCTTTAAGGTTTGGTGATGGCTTTTGTTTATTCTTTTATGATGTATCTATAACCTTAAGAAAGTAAGTACACCTTATTCCTGCCTTGTGGGGATTTTCTAGTTAGATTACTTTATTACTGTTCCTTATGGTTAATATTAAGCAAGTGCTTCTAATTTGTGTGTCCAGGTTCAAGAACAAGCTTGGATCTAGTCAGTGCAGACTGCACGTGAGTTGAGCATAGACACTGTTTCAGCATTCTGGCAAGATAGCAGTAACAGGAAGTGAAGAATAGAGACTTCTAGCATATGTACTGCATGTCAGTTGAGCTGAAATGAATCCTGCTACAGAAAATAAAGCTGGAATGTTTGGTGGTGCAGTTGTGTGTAAAGCTCTTTTGATGTCATTCCTACGCGCCATTCTGAATTGTGAGGGAGCCTCCCAGCAGCTCTTGGATGAGTGCACTCAGCATGTTAGCAGTTGACTAAAACAAGTTCCACTGTATGCTTTCCTTAGGAGCTTTAAGTTGTTGATGCCTTCTGGTTTTTCAGTCCTTACTGAGAGGTGCTTTTTCTCTGCTAGTTTAAGATTCTTTTCAAACCAATCATGTATTTCCAAAATGCTGAAGTAGAATAATTAATCCATAAAGAGACTTTTATATTTTTCCTATATTTAGGGCAATATAGCATTGTTTGAGGCATGCTGTAAGGAGCGGATACAGCAGTTTGATGATGGTGGTTCTGATGAAGAAGACATCTGGGAAGAAAAACATATTGCATTCACACCAGAGTCCCAGAGACGTTCCAGGTAGGACATCTGTGTTCAGCACTACAGTGAGCCTTCCCACTGAGTACACATTCTGCCTCAGGTTGGCTGATTGCACAGGCTGTCCAGCTTAATTTCCTTTCTTTGGAGAAGTTGGTAGAGGGATAGCTATTTTTTATTATTTATTAAGGCTTTGTTCAAGCCTTAGTTTGCTTAAGATTGCTATCCTGACTACTTGGTTCTTTCTGCATCTCAGCTTATTTCCTTTTTCTCTCCCTCCGTTCAGCCCAAGGCAGCTCAGTCTAAGGCAGTCCCTACCTGTGTAGACAGACCTTGCTCTCTTTTTCTGTAGTGCTACTAGAATTAGAGTATCCACTTCCATTGCCATAGTTGCCCTTATTCATACTGCAGTTGTGGATAAAACTATATAGGCAGCTGCACTGAAGGAAAGGAGCATCTGTTCCCCAAAACTCTCAGGGCTACACAGCCTCCAGTGGCTTCTGGATTTTGTCCCAGCATAGCTTTTTGACCTTCCTGTGATTTAAGTCCCAAACCACATGTGCTTCTTCTGTTGTGGCCTTTGGAGTGTGTGGGGCTGAGACCTCCTCCACATGAGCAGTTGTTCTGTATGCTGGCGTTATGTACACGTAGGTGATGTGTTTCAAGCATGTGCTTAGATATGTCATTACTTAACTGTTAATGCTGGTTGTGCTCACCAGGAAGGGAAATTTGCCTCTAGGTTACAAAGTACGTATGCAAATGGACTGACTGGAATACGTTTGGGTTTGTTTTCAACATAAATTGTTTTCTTATGTTTATGTTGGTCTTGACAAGAATTCTACAATTCAGTGCTTCTGTTTAGTGTATGGAGATAACTGGTCTAATTCCTTTCTCTTTTCTAATCTCTTCTGCGTGATGGGAGTGAAGGTTCTCTTTTTTTATGTGCAGAAGGGAAAAAAAAAAAAAATCTCTTTACATGACCAAGTGATAAACCTTTGGTTTTTCTGGGGGGAGGGCGGAAATAAGGGGCATGCTGACAGCTCATGAATTGGGCTTCACTTAATGTATCGGTGACAATAGCTGTTACAGTTCTATCAAGCCTCAAACTCTCTAGTATTCTATAGTGCCCTAGATCCAATCCCATGTAAACTCTGTCTTTGTATTTTAAGTTCGGGCAGTACGGACAGTGAAGAAAGTACTGACTCTGAAGAAGAGGATGGAACAAAGCAAGATTTGTTTGAATCACATGCCAATACGGAGGACAAAATGGAAGTAGACTTAAATGAACGTATGTAACTTTTCTGCCAACTGCTTGGAATTATAGGAAAGTGCTACATTTAGCACAGTGTTATTTTTGTAAGAGCTTTCCTCCTATTGTTATTTATTCCAAGTATCTTAATCTCTCTCACTGTAAAGACTGCTTGCTGTAGAGTACGTGGGTATTGGGCAATTAAAATTCCTTACATGTCCTGAGTTAAGTTACTGGAGTCTAAAATTCACATCTGTACTCTTCAAGAGGGAAAATTGAGTAGGAAAAATACAGGAATGGGAAAAATAAAAGTTAATTTACGCATCTCAGATGCTTGCAAACCTGATAGGTTGTTATTCTCTGAGCATAAAATATGGCTGTTCTTACTAGAAGTTTTTCAGACCAACACTTCGTCTTCAAGTGTTCTTTTAAAACGCATTCTGCAGAAGGGAAATGGATTGAGATTGGTGTCATTTCACACATGAATATTCTTGTTTACAGTGTGTATCAGTAGGGCTCTCACATGGAAAATTAATTGTTGTAATTGGCTTAGAAGTTTTCACAATCAAATTGCAAACTAAAATGGCTTTACTTGAACTGGCAATGTCTGTAGCAAAAGCCCTGTGTTTATCTAGACTGTAAGGAATTAAAAATTACAATAGAAGGAATAGTTAAGGGTTTTCTTTTCTTTTGTCAGATTGGTGTCGTTGGCATCTGTGTGTCAAACAAGTTTTGATCCATGTGGGTCTCCTCCCATATCTGCCTGGGTTGGAATTTCTAATTGCTAGTCAGAGCTTCCTTTTCAGCCTGTTTTTTTGTATGTAAGTGTTAATGAAGAAAATGTTTCCCTTGGGTAGGTGAAGTATTTTGAATTGACCTATCCTCAATTAGATGCTTTTAAGTCCAGACTGCTCCAAAATTTAATATCCCAGTAAATATTTGAAAGTCATAAGGGGTTTTAAGCTTTTCTGAAAAAATGCATGAGATGTTAGAGACCACCTGTACCTGCGTTGTCGTGCTCATTTTCTGTGTTGAGGAAAATGTGCATAGGAAACTGAAGGAAGGGATGAAAAACCTGAGGGTGCTGTTTTTTTTTAAGCATAGAAACTAGCACTGAAAATCTGCAACAACCATTAATGTTAGGTTAAGGAATAAAGGGGAACTGCACTTGTGGTCTAATACAGTTTTTGTGTTCCTCAGATTAGTGCTAATGATTTTTCTCAGAATACTGAGAGTTACCATTTTTGAAGTTCTGCCTTGCTAGCAGAATTTCTCTTGAAGAGTGCATACACAGTTTAACTATATACAGAATTCATTTGCATGTGCTTTAAAATACAGTTAAGAATTTTGCTGCTCCTTTTGGAATGTGCACGTAGAGAATCAGCGAGTTAGGCATAGGTACATTTGCTTTCCTTAAATTGGTTCCTGATGAATTTGCTGATTGGTTTTCTAGCACCAAATTGGTCGGCTAACTTTGATGTGCCCATGGAAACTGCGCATGGTACCAATCTGGATTCTGTTGGGTCTGATGTGTGGAGTACAGAAGAACCTATGCCAGCCAAAGAAACTGGCTGGGCTTCTTTTTCAGAGTTCACATCCTCTTTGAGGTAAGAACAGTTGTGATACAGGGCGAGTTCAGCTGCTGTTTGGTATTGTTGGGGTGTGCCTCGCTACCAAGGCTGTGTTGGAGGTGTTTTGCTGGTAATGCAGAGTGTGCTGTGTTCAAAGGCCCCACACATTATAGTGTTGGATCTTTGTATGGTCAGTTTAAACAGTAGGCTTTTACAGTATTAGTGGAACCTAAAGGGTCATTGTTTTAGAGGATTTTTGAAGATGATTTGTGTACTTGAATATTGGTCTCTGCCTGGAAGCGGGCTATGACTTCTTTGGTGCAGACTGAACTCAAGGAACACACGTAACTGTTGAATGTGAGGGTCATAAAATGTTGATGATGATTCTGTTTTATCAGTGCTCTAAACTTTGTTTAAAAACAAAACAAAGCACACACATGGTTATGTAACTACAGAATCTAGAAAGGCAGCTCTGTAGTATTTCGACCACAGCTCACATACACTTTCTTTTGATGTGATCAGTATGTCAGAAATAATTGAGCTCCTCTGTGCGAGTACCTCATCATCCCTACAGATGTAAAATCTGAGTTGCCATATTCTAGTAAGTTTTGTAAATGAAGACATGGCGTTGCCACATTAGTGGATTGAGAACATGCTACTCTGTAAATGATGGAAGCGTTTCAAGTGGTCAAAATTTGTGTTTTGAATTGCTCCACATCAGAAAAACTTGTAGCTATGCTGTGTATACCACTGAGCAAATAAATCAACTTCTGCAGTCAGTAATTAGGGCCTGTGTCGACAGCCTCAGCAGAGAACTCTGGATTTTCAAGGTTCCAAAAAGTGCATTTAAAAAGAAGCTTAGAATGTTGGGAACACTGCGAGCAGCCAGCAGTAGTTCTGTGCCTTGCAGCATCTCCTTTGCAGGTAAAAATAACAGCAGTGCCAAATATATCCTCAGTTGGTGCCGTGCTCTGCTGGGTTTTGCATTACTGAACTTCTGTTTGGGACACCTTAGCCAAGACTCACGTGAACTTGGTGTCATTCAGGTTCAGTAATGCTCGAGGCTTTGTGCCTTTGAAAGAACCAAATGCAACTTTCATTCTGTTGTTTGTAAAGCTTATTTTTATTTTGTGTTTGAAGCTCGACAGATTCCTTAAGAAGTAATTCTCCCGTGGAAATGGAAACAAACACAGAGCCAATGGATCCCTTGAGCGCAAATGCAGCTGGTCTTCCAACACAGCTGGAAAGTGAGTACGCTGCATTCAGAAATGTGAATGGATTGATTTCTAACACTCGAACCAAAGAAAGACCTCGCCAAACTATACTGTATCCAGGGACCTCTCATTTGGTTCTGCTCTTCTGCTAGCCAATGAGAATGACTTGCAAAAAAAATTTTTGAAGTTCAGTTTTCCTGGTTAATACTGCCTCTGAAAAGCCTTCCTATCATGAGCAGGGAAGCTAAATCTCTTCTGTTAGAGAAGCCGTGCGTTTGGCAGCACTTAGCTCTGCTGGTGCCCAAGAATAGTCAGTAGCCTCTGCTCTCTTCCCATGTGCAACAGACCTCAAAGTGTTCAGATTTCCCCTTTCTTCTTTTTCCTTTTGAAATTACCTTTTATGTATACGTGTACTCCTTGTTCTATTTATATGAAATGATTAGAAGTCAAACCTGCATTAATTAATTTTCTGTACATATTAGTAGACAGACAGAAGTCAAAGTGCAGATGAGAAGTCCAGAAAGATTGGATTTGTCAGAGGCTTTCCAGTACTTGGGAATTTACTGGCAAATTGTAGAGCATGAAATCATGCAATGAATTGGGCTGTAGAAGACCAAATTTGGTATTCTCATACCACTCTACTCACGTCTTGGTCAAGCAAATGTATCGCAGTAACCACATGAGCAGCCATGTACTGAAGTGCTCGGTTTCTTCCAGCCCCAGGAAGTGTTGCTATGGAGGCCAGCTCAGATGGAGAAGAGGATGGAGAAAATACAGACAAGGTAACAGAAACAGTAATGAATGGCAGCATGAAGGAGACGCTGAGCCTTACTGTAGATGCTAAAACTGAAACGGCTGTTTTCAAAAGGTGAGAGTTTACTCCTGATGTATTGCCTTCCCACTCTTGTTTTACAAGTGCTGCTGATGGAACGCTGTCTTCAGAAAGAGTTTCAAGTGAGAATTCCTAAGTGTTCAACCAGAGCCCTTTTCCAAATGGAATTGTCTTGAAACTTTATTTCCGGTTAGTTACTGGAATAAGATTTTCCTTATCAAATCTGAATTGTCGTTGGAAAGTTAGCAGGGGGAGGCTTGGCCCCATTTTGAGCCTGATGCACGTTACTGTGCCATTTTAATGTACATTAAAATAATGATGCAATTGTAGATCAAGGCCAAAGCCTTTTAAACTTTGCAACTGAGTATTTGATTTGGAATTCAGTCTCTTGTGAAAAGAGCTTGGAAGGGAGAGATTGAAGGGCAGCTGGGCGCTGCTCTTGAGAGTAATTATTCAGAAATCTGGAGTCATCAGTGATGTGGATGTCAGTGTCAGGTCTGTTCTGGTCTCCTGGTGGTACGCAGAAGTCTCGAACCAGACAAGCTCGTTAATTTTGATATCTTTTGATACAAAGTGTTAGATTTTGATACATGGCCTTACGATATGGTTATACTCCATATTACATGTACAAGGACCGTGATACGTACAATTTGTTTCCACCTTGTATACCAAATCTTAATGATGAAATGTTTTTTTATTTGGTGTCACTTCTTAACATAAGGAAACAGAGGCTAACTGGTCTGACCAATTATATTTTTGCCCGTATTGATACTGTTTTTCCCTGCTCTGATCTTGATGGATCAGCATGTTATTAGCATTTTGCATCCAGCTCTCTGCTCATTCTTTTATACTTCCTATTATCTGTCTCTGTTTGAGTTTTAAATGCTGAGAAGAAATTGACTGTATGTTTTAGGGATTGTTTAAAAGAGCCACTATCTTTCCAAAGAAAAAACTTCCTGGAGTTAGTCCCTGCGCTGTCCTTCTTAAATGCATTTTACTTCTAGCTGTCCTGTTAGTAGACAAGTACAGTTGATTCTGGATGCTCTGGGAATTGAAATGTAACAGTCACTCTTGTTTCTATCCTTTTGGATATCTAAGTAATAAATTGTAACCTAGATGAAGTGCCAAGAAATGCTTTTTCATGTGGGGGAGGGAGCGTTTCTGACTGCACAGCACTTAAAGAATCAAGTGGCTGTTAGAGAAATTGAACCTCAGCAGTTGAAAGGAGCAGTGTGACTCTGGAGTGGTATATCATGGAATCAGAATGACTTCTTGACTTAGTAAATGATGAATCTTCATTCTGTATTTTAAAGAACGCTTTTATATGGTCTGCACTTCTGTTGTTACAGTTCAGTCACAGTTGGATATCAGTGGTGCTTTTACATTTAAACAGCTTTAAATGACAAATGGTACTGTGGCTTCTGATGAGAGTGCAGAAAATGACGTTGATATGAGTAGGCAGCACGTGGTGGCAGTTGCTGCCTGTCGTCATGGAGTTACTTGCCTGAGCTATGGATCTTCTCAGCTGAAAGGAGAGAGGTGCAAAGGGAGGGAGTATGAATCTGGGATCTTGATTTGGGAGGGGGGATGTTAAGTGTAGAAGAGAGTTGACGGGATGAGATCTTTAATGTGGACTGTTTAGTTCCAGTGTAGAGATAAATGGCCTCATATTGGTCAGAGCTCACGTGGCTTTCTTTAAACGTACTTTTAAATATGCCCAGACAGCAAGTGGGAAATAAATATTTTATCCAAAGGAAATAATATTAAAAAAAATAGATCAATTTAGCTTTAGAGTGGAAATCATATCTGGCAAAGTGGATGCTCTCAGACCTAAGTTCTGTATAAGTTTCTGCCAACAGAAGATGGGTGGTGATCAAATCAGTGCTGAGGAGAAGCATCATAAGGACAGGAGCTGCTATATGGAAAACTGCAAAGGAGAAAAATGACTTTTGAGCTTAGTTGATAAGGGAGAAGAAATTGAGAAGGAGAATGGAGGATACCTCTTTAAGAACAATGACAAAAGAAATTTAGAAAAGACCTGGTGCTTGGGGCAAGTATTTCAAACAAACACAGAGTTTTAAGACAAATGAGGTAATAAACCAAATGGGAAAATGGGTGTTGGTGAGCATTCACAGGGATAAGACATTATCTTATAGGCTGCGTAGATTTAAGGATATGTGGGAGGAAAGAAAAGGATTCTCTGAAAGAGGGAGGATCCATCGGCAGGAGAGCTGTAAGAGGAGGAAGAGAAATCAGCAATGACTTTAGAATGCTCCAGACGACTTAACTAGACTTACTGCTGCAGAGAACAACTCGGTCATCTGCAGAGCTGCCCTCTGCCCTTGTCGCTGTACAGATAACTTTGTACACTGACGTGCCAATCAGGGCCTGAGTTAATGGGACAAGGTGGGAAGCCAGAGCTTTTATAGTTCTCTGAAGAGGCAAAACACAAGTTTTGCACGCTGCTTTTTCACCCAGCTGTGTTCAGTTCCATGTCTGAGGAGACGCTGGTGAATTGCAGTAGAGCAAAGGCCGGTATGAGTGCTGCACCTACAGGTGTAGCCATCGGGTCGTTTACCAGTAAAGGTGGTCAGTGATTCTGCTGATTTGTTTTACGGACAGACTTTGTCGATGCCAATTTCTAAGGGAATCTTGAATTTCTTTTATACTTTCTCCCTTCTGTTTTTGCATACTTATGGCTTCAGAGTGTTGAAATCCTATCGGTATGTACAGTAAAGGATTGTAACCCTGATCGTTATCGCTGTGGGCTTCACACCATTCCTTATTTACTTCCTGGTTGTATTTGTAATCATTGTATTTCCTGCATTTTTATCCAGTTGGTTTTTAATGGTTTTGAACGCCGGTGCCTTCAGTGTTTGTTAAGTCTGGACTCATATGCCTGATCTTCATGTTTCAATCATAATTTAAAATCCATTTGCATGTGACGCACCAAACCCTTCTCCCTATTTTCTGCTGTTGTCTGAAATATATTGTAACTTAAAAATTAAACTCACAGATTAAATGCCTTGTTTCCTTTCATGTAGTGAGGAAGGAAAATTGTCTACCTCGCAGGATGCTTCTTGTAAATATGTGGTAGAGGAGAACGCAGAGGTTGCGGAAGAGGCTCCTTCAGCTTTGCAGCCCACTAACAGCAGTCCAGAACAGAGGTAACTGCACTCAGGGATGCTTTCAACTCTCTAAGTAGCATTTATATATTTTTCTATAATGGAACTAACCTAAAGAGGTCTGCTTTTAATTCAAGCTACGTATGCACTTGCATCTATTTATGAGATTTTTACTGCTGTGTTGTCCAGCCATACTGAAATTCTTGAGTCATCAGGAATGTATTTGCCTTGTGTTATTTTACTTGCAAATATTGTTGTAAATATTCCTATTCCCACTCTATTTTCTTTTATGTATTGGTTCACGATACAAACTTGATAAGAATTATGAAAGCTATGATTGGAAAAATGGGGATATGTTTGATTTTGTCCTGAGCATTGCTGTAAATTGGGGCTGCTGTTTTTCATTCTGTATTTACACTGCTGGAGAGCTGGTGGGAATCCACCACTGCAGCTGCGTGGAAGGGAAATGCCTTAAATCATGTTTGTTTAATTGTGAACTGGTCAAATAATTGCCTCTAATTTTGAATCACTTACTGTTTGCACTTTTGTCTTTGTGAGGTATTGATCTAAATACTTTTAGGTTTGGAGAAGACTTCTCAAAGTACATAAATGGTTTGAAATAAAGTTCTCTGGAGCAGTCTGGATTGCTCAGCGTATGTATTGGAGGAAAGAAATGTTGTTCTTTAGCAGCTTGGTTGCTAGTACAGTCTTAGAGAATAGTGGTTTAGTAAACAGTTCTGAGCTGACAACTGTCAAAGGGAGAAATATGTTTTTAAACGCTGCAACAGCCAAGAATTTGAAGTAGGTGAGAAGAATTCCCACCTTGAAAGTGGTGTTTGGTGAGAACCTTGCTCAGGGACTTAGGTCAGAGCAGTGTCTGGCAGAGGTAGCTTCCAACTGCTGCTGTGCAAGAGTAAGGACAGTTTTGCACTGCTTCAGCCTCCGTCCTGCCAAAAGTCTCAGATGGCTGGAACTGATCTTGTTGAAGGCAGAAGGGCTGCAGTTGAGCCAGTCCACGCAAGCTGCACAGCTCAGAGAAGGGGAAGAGAGCCTTATTTCCTGTACTTTAGTACATTTGCCTGGAGATTAATTACGTGTCTCCTCTGGGAGCCAATGGCTTGTTGCTCATCAGGGTATTACAGTCCCAGAAGATTGTGTTGGTGTTAATGCTGACGTTTCCTAATGTAGATAGAATTTGGTGTGCAAGAGGAACTGTGCTGTCTTAAAGAAAACCCATGCAAAAGGAATGTGCATTTGTCGGTTACTGAATTCTGAGTAATCCCTGGGGTCTGTTCTCTTGCTGCAGGGCAGAGTCTGGAGGAATAGTGTTGTGCCTTCTTTTTGGGGAGCTGCAGGAGTTCTGACAGCGAGCATATTCTGAAGGGAGGGAGGATTTTGCTTAACTCAAAGCAATTCCAGGGACTTTTTTTGCTGTGCAGTGTAAGCAGGAGTTAGGATTCTGAATATATAAATACACAAAGATGTATTTTAATATTAAGTTGCAATAGTTTAAAAGGTATTTTTCAACTTCCACAGATATAAAACTATTATTAGAGGAACTTGGTATTTCTCACAGAAATGTTCTGCAAGTATTAGTCATTTTTTAAGACTGTAGGCACTATTACACTCTTCACTTTCTAGGCAAGACAAAATGTAAAGCTTTCATAAGCTGAGATTCAGAAGATAGCTTGACATATAATGCAACAGAACTCTTGTGAATGTTTTTGATTATACTTTATGGAAACTAAAAAAAGGTGCAAGCCTATTCAAATTAGAGATTCTGTCTGTCTGGGACTAGTTTGAGTGGGTATGTTTTGCATCCAGGACCTGAGATTACACTGAAATATTGATCTGTTTCTTTGTAAGCCTGATCTTTCTACTCTGCGTGCATTCAGTAAACTTCATCAAGAAATTGATCCAGTTGGAAGAAAACTGCCCACTTAAAGGTGGAAACACAGAAACTCTGTCTTCCACAGCCCCTTTTTTATCTAGAGGTGCTGTTTTTATCGATGCAGCATTTCTAGCAGTGCTAAGCACTGCGTTACAGGGAAGAAAGAAGTGTGTGGGTCCTTGCCTTCTGAGGTGATTGCCTGCTGAGTAAAGATGCTCGTCTTAGCCGACAGAGGGCTCTCAGAGCCAGCAGTTCCTCAGATTGCTTTTGGGTTACAGAGAATCTCGAGGAACTCCTTTCATTGAATGGCGCAGCTCAGTGCTTTCTCTAAAGGTGACTGTCACAGCAGATCCTCATATACGTACAGAACAAATGTCTAGATAATCTGAATTGTACTTTTGGGGCTCCATGCATGTGTGACTGGCGGGAGGAGTCCCTAGGTAGGTCTTTGGCTGGTGGCCGCAGTAATACTCTCTGCTAGGAGCCCTTTTCTGTTGTAAATGTTTTCCAAATAGTTTGTAGTTTACTGCCTTCTGAACTGTCAGAACTCCTCTCTGTGCAGCACTTGCTTCCTACCTTATAGGTTTCTCTAAAAAGTGTTTAACTTTGTCTAGTGCTGTCTGTCTTTTTATCTAATATGTACATATTTTTTCTTAAAAAGTGTTTTTAGTGCTTAGCAGCCAAAGACTTAGCTAGGGGGACTCCTGCTGGTCATGTGCATGTAGAGCACGGACCCAAGAGTGGCTTCTCTGTGATGTACACCATCAGAGAACAGGAGTTACAGGTAACTTTTCTCATGCAGTTCCAAATGGTATTTATATTCTTTAAAGGAAACTCCACATGTGTTCAGTAGACTTGCGCTAAATGGAAGCTGAGATTTTTTTTGCTTTTATTGCTTGCAATTCTTAATATTTTTATGCACAGCTGATTTGATCTCTTCATTTGCATTACACCAGGGCAGCTGAGCTCACATCTTTTCCCAAGCTTATCTAGAACTGTATATACTATTACCATTTTCACTTTTACAGGTTTGCTCTTTCACTTCTTCCATACTTACCAACCTTTCATAGTGATGGTCTGAAGTTCAAAGTATTAGTGAAACAGCAGCTTGTAAACTTAATCGCCAAAGCAGTTGTTTTTCCTGTTATGTCTTAGTTGCTTATTTTCAAATGCAATCTGAAGTATCCCAATGTCATCTTTTGCCTCACAGAGTAAGCTGTGGAGAAGTCTCAGAAGCGTGCTATTTATCGGTGGTTCTCTAGGGGAGAGATCAGCAGCTCCAGAGACCATTCAGTTACTCGATAAAGATGAAACACATTTGCTGAGTTACTTTGGCTATGCCAAACGAGATAGAAAGAACTCCCAGAAAAGGACGAGCCTGTAATTTTTGCTTTTTGCTCTGTGGAATTCTATTCTGAAAAGTTTAATTAGACTTGCAGGAAAACTTGTGGGTTTTGGCTTCCCTGTGTGGCGAATGTTCGAACCTTGTAATCCGAACTGTAGAAATCAGTAGATTGGAAGAAATGTCACAGCCTTTGCTAATTTGTCTGAGCAGAACTTCCCAAGCTGGAAGGGACTCTCAAAAATCGCAGAGTCCAACTCCTGACTCCGTACCAGGACTAAACTGTATTTTTGAGCGCTGTCTAAATGCTCTTTGAACCTGGGGGCTGTGCCCACCACCCTCTGATGCAGAACCTTGCTCTGACACTCCCTTGATCCTCCCCTGTCGCAGCTCCATGCCATTTCCTCAGGCCCTGTTGCTGTCGCACAGCAGAGCTCAGCGCTGCCCTCCGCTCCCTGTGAGGAGCTGCCGTGAGGCCTCCCCTCAGCTCCTCTGCTCTGGACTGAGCACACCAGGCACCTCAGCTGCTCCTCACACCTTGCCCTCCAGCCCTTTCACCGCCTTCATAGCCCTGCTCTGGATGCCCTCTGACAGTTTTATGTCCTCCTGGCATTGTGGCACCCACATGGCATGCAGTGCTGGAGGCGAGGCCCTGCAGAGCAAAGCGGGACAAGCCTCCGTTGTTCAGCAGCAGTGCTGGGCCTGGCGCATCCCCTTTGTGAGCCAGCAGCGTGCCCTGGCTGCCATCAACTTGCCACCAGCCAGAACAACAGAGCCCTTTCTGTGGGGCTGCTCTCCAGCCTCTTTTTCCAGTCTGTATATACAGCCAGGGCTGACTGATCCCAGGTGGGCAATCCAGCTCTTGTTGAACTCCATGTGGTTGGTGATTTTCCAGTGCTCTAATCTGTCAAGATCTCTCTGCAAGGACTCTCCACCTCAAGGAATTCAGCAGCTCTTCCTAGTTTTGTTAATTTAACATTGTCTGCAAATTTGGGCATGTGGGGAAAAAAAAAAAGACACCACCTGTTTCTTGTACACTTACATCCTTTTTTGGCCTCTTAGGACTGATCAACGCACCCTTTTAGGAGAGACATCTGTTAATGGCCCTGTATGATATGTGATGTCTGCTGCCTTGGCTGAAGAAAATGAACTGATACCCGGGGGTTTGAGCGTTTCTTGAGGATTTCATCTAGAGCCTGTTGAAGCCAGTTACTGCTGCACTAATTTTGCAAGGGATCAGGACCAGCAACATTTATATTCTAGATTTTAAGACATTGTACAGAAATTCATAAGTGTAAAAATATTGCACATTGAGAAATACCAATAATTTTTGCGTATGTTTATATTGTATTGTTCTAATTAACGGGTGGCCTGTGAAATAAGATCCTGCCACCCATGTAATGATGACAGTAGTGTTACTATAGTTAAAAATGGCTGTAAGAATAGTTTTATAAAAAAAAAAAAGTGAATACACAAATCTAATGTATTTGAGACATAACTATTTGATGATTAGTGTGACCAAAGTATTTAGCAGGTTTTCATACATTTTTCACCTTGTAAAAAGAAGGAAAAAAAAAAAAAAAAAAAAACCAAAAAAAAAAAACCCCACACCTGAAATTCATGTTTCTTCCGGGTTGGCGAAGAATTGTAGAACTGAAATGCCCTATAAACGTTATTTTGGTTGTTTTAGCTTACAGAAGTGATTTAAATGAGAATTTTGGTGTTCAACATTTTACAACAGGTTTTTTTAATTGGTAATTGTTTTCTGTATTGTTTAAGACAGATCAAAAATGTAAGTCTATTGGTAGAGATTTTAAGTATTTATTGCTACGACTTAGTTGACAAATTGATGTTACTGTAAAGCCATATGTTCTGTTAAGTCTTGTTTGCTTGAAACAATACCTTACAGGTGAAACACTAGGATATTTGAGGTGCACATGGCTTGTTGTGTTAAGTGATTCACCTGCCTTTTAACCCGTTCACCAAGATTTACTTTACTCCCCAGCATTACACGACGGAACATTTCAGAACAATCTGCGTATTGAAAACGCTGTAATCCTCTTAGACAAGTCCAGTACATGAAATGCCCGTGCTGCTAATGTAATTACAGTACACGCATTTTAAAAGTATATAGTGTTCTTTTAATACCGATTTTGGCAGCAGAGCATGTTAATTGTTACTTTCACTGTACTGATCTGTGTGAGGCTTTCATTTGTATGTTCTAAACCAGTTTTTTTTGCAGCTGGTTTGTGTATATATATATAGTGATTATGGAAACTAATTCTGTGTAATTTATAATTTTCTATGTCAGTGTACAATTCCAACAGCCTTCTCAAACAAACGGAAGCAATATTCTGTATATTGCCACATTGTCTGGTGAAAGGGTTAAAGTACTTCACCTCCTGCACTTTTAGATGCAAATCCATTTTTATTTCTGTAATAATTATATTCATTTATTTTTACATCATTTGTTTTCCTGACCAGTATTTAAAGCCAAAAGGATACTCTAAACAATGGCCAATGATTTATTTTAGAAAGCGTCCCAAGCAACGTGCCTAAACATTACATTGCATACAGAAATAAAAAAAAAAAAAGGAAAAAAGTCCAATGGCATTGCACTTACTGCTTCCTGTCTTGCATTTTCCTCAGAAGATTTTAGTAGCAACTTGTTGCAAACTCGTCAGCTGTGTGAAAACGGAGAAAGAAAACATTATGATAGAAGGACTTGGAAACTATAGTTGCCTTTCTATTTGTACCTTATAAATGATGGAATTGAGTCCGTTTATGTTGTTTAATTGCAGAATTGCTTCCAGATGCACCTTTTCTGAAAGTGTTATCTATTAATGGTGAGGTTGGCAGTTGTCCTTTCATCACTTTCTTACCTGTTTTGGAAACAGAAGTGTTCACTTCAGTGCAGGAATTGCAGTGCAGCTGTAAATCCCACGTGCAGGAGAGCAGTGTGGTGTCTCCTTCTGTCCTTTCCAGTGAAGTGATTTGTCCCTCGCTAGCAAGGTGCCGTCACTTCTTACGTAGCCAGGAGGAGTGAAGGTGGTACTGACAGTGTCAGTCATTAACTGTATTTCAGCCCTGTTGCCTGCAGTTCAGCCAAACCTTGTAGTTTGTCCTCCTTTCTGATAGTGATCTGATGTGACAGTTCACTACTTAGTTCATGCAGGAGATCAAAATTGAAAAGGAGTGTTCTCTCTCTTTTCCCTCCATTCCTACCATGTGCTTTCAGGTGAGTAGAGATGTGATGGTGGTAAATGCAGACTGCTCTGTCAGCGTAGTCTGCCTTCTGTCTAAAAGGTGTGCTAGAGAGAAGGTAAGCCAACCTACTTTATGCTGATTCTAGTGGTCTGATTCTGAGCTACTGCACTTGCTGTTAAGTTGGGAGGTGTGTTAAACCTGGGATTTAAACTAGATTTGATGTAGTGAGCTTGCTCTGAGGTCTGTGGTATGTTTTGCCCACAAGTACATCGCTTGTACTGGAAACCCTGAACTTGAAGGGAAAGCTTTGGCAGTAAAGGGAAATCCTGCATCATCTCAATGGCTCTGTTACCCAATCTGTTCAATCAAATTTGACTTGATGGAGTAACGTCCAGTACCTGTGTATGGGCTTGACTTCCTGCAGTTCTGCAGTATCCAGTAGCAGTTAGCCAGTCGTAGCAAGCTTACTGCAACCTTGTTCTGAACGCTCGCGTTGCAGCATGTCACTGTGCTCGTGGCAACTGCAGGTGCAGTCACTGAAAACGGGGGTACTGTGGCATATGAAAGGACTTCTACAGGCATTGCCAGACCAGCAGTATGTGCAGTAGCTCCCTGCCCTGTCAGACCTGTCTCCGTTACCTGGTAGAATGGATGAATCTCACCACCTTGATTGGTTACATCAGTGCAAACCTTTGTTAAAAGTATAAGCCGTGTCTGAAGTTTTTCAGCAAGGTCATTCCATTGAAATAAAGGTATAAGCTTGATTAATAATATGACGCTGTCTGTTGAGTGAGTTGACAGGTATTCACTGACAGCAGGACAGCTGAAGTAATCTCATTAAGTCCTTGTAAATTCAACTCATTTTAACCATGCTTTGGAGTGGAGTTTCTCTTTTGGCTAGTAAGCTTTTGTCTCTGCCTCTCAAACTGTTCTGCATTGTCAGCTGCACGCTGTGAAAACTCACGGTGACGTTCCCATGAGGAGGTAAGAAAGACGTAGGAAGATAAATTTTTCATAATGAACTTATATTCCTGTTGAAATTAGTTTTAATTTCCTTGGAGATTACTTTGTTTTGACATATACTTTATGCAGTTAGGAAGTATTTACTGTATATAACTGGCTGTTAATATACTTCAACATCACCTCTGGCCAGTAGTGCAATGCAGTATGAGCGCTTCAGGCTCTACTGCAGACGTGTGCATTGTTTCTCAAAATCAGAATGGAAATTAAAAGAGAACGTGGGAGAAACCAGCTTTTTTTTTTTTTTTTTTTTTTAAGCTTCTGTCTTATTTTTTGCATCTTATTTTCTATCAAATAAGGCACCGACATCCTTCTGTGCCATTATTGTTAGAATTAAGGTTACAGTATGGAGAAAGCATAAGCCCATAGAATTAAAAAGATTCTTAGCGTAAAAATAGAAGCATTCAACTTGTGTTTGTGACATCACGGAAAGTCCCACTGTAATTCTTCCCCTTCTGCTACAGGCTAAAGCAGTGAAGAGAACTGTGCTCAGCTAGTAGTATTTTTCAACATTTCTCTCTCCTGTAGATGAGGCAGGGTTACTGTCTGATGCATTTCTTTCTCTCTGAATCAGCAGGTACTGAGCAACATGAGCTCAGATTACCTTTAGTCTGACAGCCTGGCCTTAGCTAAAATAATGTAATCCTGATTCCAAGACCTCCTTCAAGAGGAGTGTTCTCGTTTCTCATTTCTTATTTCCTATGAGTGCTGGTGGGTGCCTTTTCTGCGATCTGTGTTCTCTGCATCTTGAAATTCGGATTCTGAAGACTTAACTTAAATCACGATTATCTGTTCTGTATGTGATGTGCAGTCACCTGAACCTTGTCTAGCTGCTGAGTCAGGTTTCTCAGATGCAGCTTACCCAATCGCTCAGACTGAGCTGCCTGTCTCGCTGTTTTAGTCTGTGAATGATCACATTGGTGGTTGATTCCCAAGGAAGTCGCAGTGTTGCCTCGTCTTTCTCAAAAGGAACCTGAACCTCTTATTTACAGGATGTGTGACTTTTTCTGCTTTTGCTGATTGGAAGAATTGCACATGACTAATGGTAGGTTCTTCCCTTCCCCTTTTTATCTAAGCCAGTTTTCTGTTAGAGGCCACAATTTCATTTTGGGTAGTAGGTTAACCTGGTTCATCTGCTGAGGTCCTGAAGCTTGATGATGTATACCTGACAAATAAAACCTGTTGTTCCTCGTGCCAAACAAAAATGAGTGGCAGGAAAATCACTTGTTGTTGTTGTTTTTCCTACTGGAAGATCTGAAGTGTTGACTGTCATCTAATGGTTCCTGTATCAGACAGTGAGATGAGATAGCTAACATAAGCCTAGAGGCTGTGTCTGCTGAGATTGAGGTGACCTTGTTTCTCCAGAGCACTATATCAATTATCTGTGTCCTTATAAAAACGCTTATTAATCACTTGCTAATGCTGCTTGGTTTAAAAGATGATTTAAAAAAAAAAAAAAAAAAAAGAAGGATGAAGGTGGTTATTCTGTATTCTCTGCTAGACCATCATTGAGATGTGCTTTCAAATGAGGAGAGTTTACTGGAGAACAGGAGAGTTCTGCTCTGGAGTGAGCCGTACAGGACTTGTGCATGTTGGTCAGCCAACATTCAAAATGGAAGGGGTTATAAAGAGGAGTTTGGGGATGTTGATGTATCTATAGAATCGCATCCTTCTATTTTGCTGTAGTTTCCTCAGAATTAAGAAGCTTGAGAAGCTGAAGGGCAAACTGAGTGTGCAGCTTTTTTTTTTTAATGCTGGCACTGGTATGTCTGTTTTAAAGTACTTTAAAGACATAATTCTCTGTACTTGTGATGTGGAAGCTGACATCAAGTTAGTTATTGTTATTTACCCAATTCATGCAATATACCCCAGCACATCAGAGAACTTTTAGTCTGTGTACATGGAGATACACTCACATGAGTGAGTAAAGTACATTTTCTTATGCAGACAGGTGCCATGTAAGTGGTGCATATCCTAAATGCACTCAGCTCTACAATCCTAGGTGGAAGAGGCACGTGTGCACATGATTCAGCCCATACTGAAGTACTTCAATAATACAAAATGTTCTTTTGCTTCTGTCCCTGCAAATGTTGACACTTCTGTTGGTGTCTGGCCAGCATGGCTGTAATTGGATTTGGGGAAGAGGAGGAACTGATGCCTCCAGTTCTTGAGGCCAACTTCAACTTTCATCAAAGAGGGTCCTGCTGTGCTTCCTGTAGGCATGAAATACTTGAGCCTTTTTCTTCATGTGTTTATGGCTTCTCAGAAACTTAGGTAAGAGATGGGATTTCCAGTATTGGTGACTGAATCATCATGTTGACTTCATCTATAAACTTGTACTGGTGCTGTTAATCTATTGACAGTTATGCGTCTGTTCATGATATGTTGGTGAGATGATTGATTTAGCTCTTCCAACAGCTGCCACCAGCAGTTCACAAACAGGTTTACTGTGTGGCTTTGAATTTGGTATTGCACAGATATGAACTGTTTCTAGCACTCTGTATGGGAAAGGCAGGGTCTCTGTGGTATAACGAAGTTCCAGATGGCTAAGGAATGTCTAATGCAATCCAAAGGAAGTTAACTTACCTGAGTTGTTGCCTGCTGATCTTTAGGAACGTACTTACTCCATTACAGTGGCTTCTAGCTGTTCGTGCAGATGACACACTGGGCATCTCCTGCCTTTGCCATCGTGGTATCAATCTGTGCAAGGACTGCTCGCTGCTGCCTTGCCATTTGTAGTGGCTGTAGATGAAACTGATAAAACATTGCAGTAAATAGCAGAGTACCTAAACACTGAAACAAACTTGCTCCTGCAAGAAATGAAGGAGAGGCAGCACTTGCTATGTCAGTACTGCCCAATGCTGCTCATGGTAAAAGAGCCTTGTTTCCCTTCTGTGTAAGAGCTTGATCCTTAATTTCTTGCAGGACATAAGAGAGCAGTGCTAGAGATAAAATTTTTCTACACTCTAAAGAAAATAATTACACTTGAGGGGGCAGATAAGCTGAGTCCAGCTTCTAATTACTCTTCCACTACGAGTAGCTCTGGCTTTTATGGCATTGAGCAGTCTGGATAATGTTGTTTTAGGCACACTCTTTTACTTTCAAGGTGTGGCAGAAGTTAGGTTCAGGACTGTGCTGTACAATCAAAACATGGAATTTCGCTTCGTTCTTCCTGCTTTATGAGCCAGTACTTTGCCTCTGGCTGTAGATGGAGAGCATTAATTTTATTGACTGACT